CAAAAAGAAGACACTGATCTTCAGCACGAGTTATCGTCCACAACACTTAAACTACGCATCAAACAGATGGGAACAGGTAAGGAAACCTTACTTTGTGACACATCTACAGGTAGGGATCGCCCAATCGTGCCGAAACATTATCGACGCAATGTCTTCAATACATTGCACAAACTTTCTCATCCAGGTGTTCGTGCAACCATCAAGCTTATAGCAGAACGATTTTGCTGGCCTGGCATGAATAAAGACGTGAGGGAGTGGGCACGCTCCTGTGTAAGCTGCCAAAAATCTAAGGTTATCAGACACAATAAATGTCCCTTAGGCTCGTTTAAAACTCCCGATGCTCGTTTCGACCATGTTCATCTGGATTTGGTAGGACCTTTACCAGATTCAAATGGATACTCTTACCTCTTAACCTGCGTAGACCGTTTCACTCGATGGCCAGAAGCAGTACCTATCAAGGACATCACTGCTGAAACAGTGGCCCGCGCCTTCGTCGAACGATGGGTAGCAAACTTCGGTTGCCCTTCAACCATCACTACAGACCGCGGACGTCAGTTTGAATCTGAACTTTTCCGTCGTCTGACCACACTTTTAGGAATCACTCGCTTCCGAACGACCGCCTACCACCCACAAGCAAACGGGTTGGTAGAACGTTTTCACCGACAACTAAAAGCTTCACTATCAGCTGCAAACGTTTCACAGTGGACCGACGCTCTTCCACTCGTCTTACTAGGTATCCGCAATGCAGTGAAAGCTGACATTGGATACACTGCGGCTCAACTCGTTTATGGAACGACACTTCGACTTCCAGGAGAATTCGTGGATCCTTCGTCCTCTTCAATGAACATGGATCTAACCTCCTACACGAACAGGCTTACAAACGCAATGCGTTCAGTTAAACCTGCTTCCACTCGACCTCAATCAACTGATGTTTTCGTTCAACCTGACTTACGATATAGTACACACGTTTTCGTTCGTCGAGACTCGCATCGACGACCATTCGAATCAGCATACGAAGGACCCTTCAAAGTTCTTCAACGTGAATCTAAGTACTATATAGTCGATAAGAACGGAACAAACGATAGCATCAGCATCGATCGCTTAAAAGCAGCGTATTTAGAAGGAAATCCTATTCACGTCGATTTTCCTTCGGTACAATCGCACAACACGACTCCTACACTCATAATTCCTCAACCGACAACCAACACTAGTGGTGATACTCCGAATGTATCTGAAAATAAACCTAAAACGACGCGTTCTGGAAGAAGAGTAAGATTTCCAGAACATTTAAACGACTACTGCACGTAAGGCACTACTCGACATTTTATATTATCTCGATTTTTCTTTTTACGATATATAATATTTAAAAAAAAAACAATTTTAATATGCCTATATATTTATATTTTTATTAAAAAAAAACAAAAAAAAAAAAATTTTTTTTAACGCTATTACGTGTGCTTGAGTTTATTTTCCATTTTTTCGCCGACATTGTGTTTTTACGCACATACGAGTGTATTTCGACATGCACTTACATTTTCTTTTTTCTTTTCCAGGACGGCTGGAAAAGAACGATGCAGTTTACGAGGAGCCGAAATTTTCATTGTAACTTTTTCTTTTTTTACTATGTTGTACCTCGGTCCCATATAGTAAGGAAAGACGACCAGACGCTGCTACACTTAGTAAGCTATCAGAAGAGTGTTTACCAACGACAAACTCGTTGGGTTTAAACTTCTGGCTGGCCACGTCTTAGGGTCGTCACTGCCCCACTAGGGGGGAGTGATCTGTAGCGGTAAATAAATCCCCAAAATAAATAGCTCTGTAAGTTTTCGACATTGGATGCTGACCATATGTTTTAGTGGACTCATCTAGCTGAAGGCGCTCGGTCAGGCATCCGCACCAGATCACGTGTGGTAACGCCGTGCTCAACATCAACCGCAATCGCTAGCCAGATTAGATCAGAGAATTCCGATATATTGGTCATCGCCAAATACACTCTTCCGATCTCCTCGACTCTGTCTTTTGATTTCTCTCGGTGGGAACGAAATATATTAGGTGTTACTGGTAGAAGCGTTGTCAAACACTGGATACCTGTGACATCATTAAGGTCATCTAACGAAAGTGATTGTATGTTGTTTTTTACCATTATCTGTTGATGTTAAAGAGCTTGTGAAGGATACTCGTAAATATTTTGAGGCTGTTACAAGTGCAGTGAAATGTGGTTAAAATATTCAGTGCAAGCGTGGGTTTCCTGAGTTTTACAGAAACATGGAGAACATATTGGTACATCGAGAAAGCTTTTTGTGCTTCCATTGTAGAATAACCATTTGCCTTACATTCATATCTGCAGTTTTAAATGATCTTCATATAAGTCGAAAACTGAAAAACTGTTCTGACTGTTTGCATAAGCTATCGTATAATAAACTAACTTGGAATCCTTGGCCTGCATCTTATGAATCATAGGAACGTATTCACGTGGATTACTGTCTAATGTTTAAACTCATATTAAAATTTAGTTATTACTGATTCATATTCTAAATGGCTAGAAGTGGTACTCACGAACAATACTAGCGGATAATTCACTCAAAGAGCAATGAGGAAGGTATTTATTCATGAAGGAAAAACTAGTGCATCAGTAACGCATAATGGAACTCACGTAACATAAAGAGTTCGACATCCAGCTTACTGATATTGCATGCCAACATTTAATTACAGCTCCACGAGATCTTCAGTTGAATTCTAAAGATGCCCTTGTCAATGAATCTCTAGAGAGTCCTGAATTTCAGATTGACGAAAAAAATCCGAATGCTAAACACCTAAGAAATGCTAGTGGAATTGAAGTAGACCCAAATAATATTACAGAAACAAACGAACAACCAACGTGTGGCAGATATGGTGTATAATCAATACATTTACAGTGCAGTGCAATATTTGATGTTGTTTTTGAACCTGTAGCGTGGTGTCGAGTTGAGGTTAACTATGAACACCGCTACCAAGAAACACGTGCCATATAAATCAGAAGGCGTAGGTTGAACGTAACCAAATAAATCCATAAAATCCCCGAGAAGCCAAATATCAGAAGGCAATTAATGGACCAAATCGAGACATATTCGCTGGCGATCTCGTGGTATCGAAAGGATACCGAGATCGTGCCAGGATACAACCTTGGTTACAGAACGTAACCGAATTCGCGCGAGGTCACAATCAAAGTGTAAGAATAAGAATGGAAGCACAAAATAGCTGTCATTATCACAGTCAAACAAAAGCACATTAAAACAAGCACTGGTACAGTTGGTTATAATAATAATTGTTTTTATTAAACCAGTCGTGTTCTCGTGATAAATGTGAGTCACTACAAACCTATCAAGAAGATACGATACAATTCCACACTGAGTACTTCGAATTTGAGTACTTGGTTGTGTCTTATCATGCTCTACGTTTGCTTATATTAATAATATTTCGCTATATTACTTCGAATTCGTACAAAACTTAACGTGAAACGAGGTTTTGAGTCATCACTCAGAATTTTAATTGAAAACTAGAGGTTTACTTCTAAACCAATCACACATGATAGGTAAACTCTGGAAGGAATGAAATCTTTCACATACCTGCACGGCATTATTTAAAAACAAGGAGGCTTCGGCGCAGACATAAAAGCAAGGGTTCTCGAAGCAAGGACAGCATTCCTACAGTTGAAGAACACATAGAACTCAAAATAACTATCAGCCAATATCAAAGTCAGGATCTTCAACATGAACGTTAAGACAGTCCTACTGTACAGAGCCGAAACTTGAAGAACTGTCGCAATCATCATCAAAAAGGTACAAATATCTATAAGCAGTTGACTGTGCAAGATACTAAATGTCTGTTGGCCGGAAACCATCAGCAACAACCTACTGTGGGAGAGAACAAATCAGGCTCAAGCTGAGGAGGAAATTAGGAAAAGACAATGGAGGTAGACAGGAGATACACTGAGGAAATCACGAACCTGCATCACGAAGCAAATTTAAACTTGGAATCGTGAAGGGAAACGGAAAAGGGGAAGACCGAAAATAACACCACGTCTGGAATCGGTAGCAAACATGAAAAGGATTGCCCAGGACAGAGCTGGATGGAGAATACCGGTTAGAGGCTTATGCTCCCTTAGGGGGAGTAAAAAAACGTCAGTCAGTAAGTAATTATGGTGTTTGTCTGTGTTTCATCTTTTCCATCCATAATTACTCAACTTTTTTTGTCTCAAAAGGTGTCACGAACCACAATAGCTCTGCTATTTGGCCGATCCTGACGAAGGCCTGGTAACCACGTAATTCCCTATATCTTACAGCCCATTCAGTCGTAGTAACTGCGCCTGATGGGTGATTAGAATTACCACCAATAATAGGATCATTATCATTAATCCCCGTGTACCCAAGTCAACCCTTGACATCTCCGTTTTACTGATATTCCAATAGTTTGTTAATGTATGTTGTTAGTTTACTTCTGACAACTGTCTTCTCTCTGATCCTTTGCACCCAGGTTTAGTAATTTTTACATTGAAACCAACAAATCTTTCCCCCCGAAAACGTGGTATTTGATGGTTTCAGAAAAATTCCGAACCTGATAAATCACTAATATCCAAGATATACAACAGCTATGTGTGACAGCTCTAATAGATGAAATACGAGAGCAGAAGTTCACAATAAAAAGATGTTGATATATGTTTGAACAAAGGTCGATGTATCAGGGTATATGCGATCTAAGCTGATTACGTGTCGTAGAAGTTGCGCAGCAGGGATTACCATAACGCCTCTGTTGCTGATGCTACAACAGTAAAGCTATCAAATTCATCATCAGTGGCCTTCAAAGATTTTTATCTTGGGAATTCACTTAGTTACATCCCTAAGTAACACGAAGTAGCGATCTCACAGAAGTTAGCTGGTGTGTATTAGTTTGCCATAAAAATACCGGATTTACAGGATACTGTATCCCGTTGCTGGACTGTAAAAAGCTCTCGTGGGACAATTGAATAAACCCCCTTTAGTGGGAAAGAGCAATCGTTTCAAGGGTTAACACTAAGAAATTCGTTTTTACGAATCCCGAAGATGCGCAATATTAGACGTATGCGCTACTAATCCTCGTGTAGTATGAGTTGTTGACTACATTTTTGTTTCCATCAGCTGTATATTATATATACATTGATTTGCCTAATTGCAATTTATATTTGTATTTGATATGGTAGATGTAAGTTGAACATCTCAGATTGTTTAGTATATATGGGAACTAGATGTTCTGAAATATTGGTTTGTTGTTAGTATTACGTTTGCCATATAATTAAAAATAACTGCTATCATATTTGCAGCATTTCGCGTATCACTGCATTATTTGTTCAGCAGAGGTGTACAACTTTGTAAGCACCAAGATTATGAAAAATACTAGCCTACTGTTAACTAGTATTAATTAACTTTTGCTTCTAAACAAAGCACCGTTTATTAACTCAAAATTCAGAATTCTGCAGATTGTAGACGGGGTGGTTAGTTTACCTAAGTTTTGAAACGGAGGGAACTTCATAACGGAGATGCGCCATCTATAATAACTAGCTTGCATGTATTTTCAAAACCAAGGTTAGTATTAATCTCAATAAATCTGTGTGTTCGTATAGTGCATAACACGGTTATTAGTTGACTTGGTCGGTGCTAAGGTGGTTGGTGTCTTAGGTTTATTTATTCCTGACTTACTCCAACTGCCATTATTTTAACGTGCCATGACACTGTGGTCTTCCATGCTTGGGTTGGTGCTTAATTATAAGCAGAGAGCTATCACAGGAATTTAAGAGTTTATATCCACAGACTACATGTGAAGTTTTGGACATAACACTCACTTTGCTAGTTTTATAGATCGTTTCTAAAACATAGTGTTAACAACCTTTCTGATACAAACTTACGCCTGCTACCCTTCGTGGAGAAGCATAGGCCGCCCACCATCATTCTATATCGAACTGTGTCCTGGGCGGTTTCTGGTAGAAAAAAGTCTCCGCATACTTTTGTAGGCTTGTATTCAGTCATAAATTCCAACACACCTTTTTAGGACTGCCAATCGTTTTCTAAGGTGAGAATTCGAGATTATTCTTAGCCAATTATGGGATTTATGCTATTTAGTCGCAGCTGTATGAGTTCTGCCGAATATGTATGTGAAGCTACCTCAGGATTAAGACTTTATAATAATGTTTGATCGTAGTTGACTCCAACACTATAGTCTCGAGTCGCATGCACTAATTTCAAGTATGGGTGTTGGGGCTAAAAGAAGTTTGCTACAAGGAATATGAAAGTAGTTTAGATGATGAAAAGGTCTAATAATTACCGTGGTAGAATCGATAGCTGTTGAAAGCGCGTAATTGATGGTCACTTCTCGAGTATCCGTACATTAAGATGTTTTTATTGGTGGGCTCAACAAGAAGACAGATTACTGTTAACAGTTGTGGTAACTTGAGATACTTAAAACTTTATGAGGTATGGGTCAGAAAGGATATGGTTACCATTCTGCTATAGTCTTGTATTTTATGAACAGCAGAATGTTGCTTTAAAAGAAACGAAACCGGTCTCTGTTGTTTTGGAGTTTGAAATATATCTTCCCTTAGTTCTTATACGTCTTTGTAATGCCCTTCCCCTATCCTGCTTCATAACAAAATTATCTTTCATTGTTTGGTGCGTGTCTTGGCCTATCTTATATACCTTTTTTGGAGGGATAAACAGCTAGTGATTGGCCACCGATTACGTGTATATGTGTAACTTGTTTTACAATGTAATTGTACAAAGTTGAGCATTTAGAGGTGCATGAAAACTATCACAGGCTCGTATTGTATATGGGTAGTTCTGTTCATTGAAATGGATTTTATTTATTGGCAACCGTTAAAAGTGCCGGGACATGACTTCACTTGTAACGAATGTCTTACTGAAACCTTTCACTGATTATCTTTATATTCTATATTTGTGGATGAAATAACTGATTTAATTTTCATAAAATTTCGTCTTAGATGGATAATTTATTTTATTGATACTTTTCATTTAAAGGCTTTGATATCTTTATGACCGTGATAATCTCTAACATAATATGGAAGCAACAGTTGTTACTCCAATAAATGGTTAGTTATTAAGCTTTTTAACTTTTCATATAAACTAGCATCTTCCTTTTCGCGTCATTTTTCTATACCTTATGAACAAGTAAAAGATCAACGATGTCCGGAAGTAACTATTGCTGTAGTAAGTAAATAATCACATGAAAGCAGTATGTTTTTCAGAATCCGCATATAGGATGGTATAAATCAAGTGCTGACCGTAAAATGTTTCCGTTTCTCAGTACAAAGAATGTTAGTAAGCTTATCAATGTGTATAACAGTTACTGACTAATTTTAGCCAATCGAACCAGATATCAAAGCAGAGGATTGTATTTTATACAAGATGGTAACAAATTATGAGGTGGTTATCTCTTCTACAAGAAGTGTATTCTATTCATAAATCTAGGATGTATTTTATTGCCGTCGTACACCTGAAAACGAATCAATACGTCTGCTGTACTGTTCTCATGCTTTAAATCATTCACTTAGGTAGGTCATTCTTCTGGGTAGAAATGGAAAAAATTCGTTAATATAGGTGTCAGACGCTTGTATCGAAGAATAATGAAAAAGAAAAACAATTTGGTGCATCTGAGTGAGTTATGCGTCTACTTGTACTTCATAAAATATTTATCATTGTATATCAATTTAAACTTCAATTACTTTGTATTCATATAATCTTTGTATACACATTTTTGTGCATTATGTGAGATGAGTAAATTAATTCTGTTCATCTTGTCACTTCGGACAACATATATGCCAGGATATATGTATCCTACAAACAAGTGTAATATTACGAAAACAGAACGGGAGAGTGTAACAATAGTGAGAATGATCAGTACAATCATTTACGAAGGAATCGAAAACCTCTGATTGTTCGTCACAGCCGTTGAGAATGACAGCTACTGATATCCCACTAACTGTTTTGCCAAATATTTTACCATCTCATGTTACTTAATTCCAGAGAATTTAGAACCTCATTTTGTTATATCCTAACGAAGATTAAATCACGAGTAACTTCTGAGACATGTTAATTGACCAATATTATCTATATATTCTTATGGTATAACTATTCAGTAATTAGATTGTGTATATTTATATTCATCTTATTATAAGCTTCGTTTTGAACAATAGATTATTATTGTACAGTTTACCGTTCTTAAGTTATACTCAGTTTATTGATTACAGTTTCCCACGTTCATAGCCACTTTTGACCTGATCTTGTTCAAATGTCATTTCCTGTTTTATGGTGTGTTGTGGTCTGTTTGGTTGATATATAAACCCAGTATGTCTGAAATAAGTGATTCGCATAGTGGAAGCTGTATTGGTGTTCTGGAATCAACTAGACGGGCTAGGCGGACATAGGACCAATAAGGACGCTAGGTTGCTCATACCGGTCAAACGTCGTTGGTTTAGCACAGTGTGAAAATTGTACAGTCGTATTTCGATTGGTGGATAAATCACGTAATAACTAGCGGGCCATAAAGACATAACACATTTATTAAGCCTTAGTGCATAAACAGATGATAACCAAACGTGCTATTATTTAATCCTACAGAGCTAGTTCATAAACTGGGCACAATCCCTGGGAGGCAGCAAATGATTATCAACATAGTAACCCCTCAGATAGCTCTAGTCATAGCTACCCGAGGTGAGGGAGTGATTTAATCGTCAACAGGTTGATCTTGGTTGCTGGTAGAGGTATGAGGGCAGTTGTCATTTCCTGGTCGCCCCCACTGTGGGAGGATATTTCTTAAGGGACCTGAGACGGAAGCGGAATCAGTGGTGATCTTAGTGACTTGGGAGCGTGATCATAGAGTTCAAGGGACAGTTGCTTGAGGCCGGTTGCGCACAGCCTTTTTATGGGAGGTTTTTGATGTGTTAGCTCTTCACTTCAAAAAGCCTTACTCTCGGAGACGGAAATCCGTGGGGGTAAGGTGAGGTGTGACATATTTAGAATTGACCTTTTCTAACCCCTTCCCTCCGTTGGGAGAAGGCATCTTCGCTGCAAATGCTGGTTATCCGAGGGAAACACCTTATTGCTGTCACACCTCTCTACAATCGGCAGAACGATTTAACCCTGGGATCCTAAGTTGCTGCTTTCAGTCTTACCGTTCTCCAATCAACCTGGATGGCATGACAGGGCCTGATGGAATATGTGTTCCAGCCAATATAGCTCGGTTGAATCATCAAGATAGGTAAGCCTGACCACCACGTCAATGCAGCAGCTACTATCGAATGTTTGCTCTATGGACGTTACAGTTAGAAATAAATGATTGCGTAGTCAGTATTTTGTGATGATGGACAGTCAAGACCAATTACACTATATTGTTTTTTTGTAATCCGCCCTCCCTCTCAACATGCTCTCACACGGCCACGCGTATACAGCCTCTACCAGGGAAGTCCTACTCACTGCTTTCTCGTGGCGGCGGTGTTGTCTACGAAAATGAGAGGACGAAAAGCGAATGTCCGGCGCTTTAACCAGGTTGGTAGACACGAAGAGTTCACCTAGGGGAGTCGGAAAACCCTGATTCCAAACCAATGGTGCACATGGGCTACAGTATCCTGACGGAATAAATGGAGTAAAAACCAATTGTTGGTCACCGACTACCATGGGACTGCATCTTCTCACGATGCTCCACTGCCTTGTGGGTCAGACCTTTAGGTCAAAGGTCCGGGGTGTGGTGCCCTAAGAAAACCACCTGCTTCGGTCTGGGCACCCGGGCAATACCACAGCCCACAAACAAATAAAATGAAAATGATGATATTGAATAAAATTCTATTCTCGCTTCGATTTACAGTCAAATAATTCACATTATTATTATTATTATTATTATTATTATTATTATTATTATTATTATTTACTACGTCATTTATTCACCCTCTTTCATTCTCACTCTGTGTATACTTATTTTTCGACTTATACAGCAGCTCGCCTGTGGTAGTAATTCAGCTCTATCTAAATGTTCTCGAGTCACTGCCTGGTTGAAAATTGTATGCTACCACCGAATACGAGTACTGAAGCACTTTTTCTGAAACCACGTGCACCATTCAAACTGGCTGCCTTCAACGTTCGCACATTTATGCAGGTCGGACAACAGATAGGGCTGGCTATGTCTTTGGAAAGTCTTAATATCGACGTTTGTTGTCTATCCGAGACCCGTATTCAAGACTCTGGTGAAGTACTACAAATTCGATCTCCATCTGTCGCTTCGAAAAGCTTGTTTTACGTGCGCTTATCCGGGGACCCTGTGGCATCTTCGTCTGGTCTTGCTGGCGTTGGTGTCGCACTAAGCGCTAGAGCTGAGGCAGCACTAGTCGATTGGATCCCCATTAACAGTCGGTTATGTGCTGTTAGATTAGAAAGTTCCATCAAAGTGAGAAGAAATCGGCGTGAGAAACGATGTCTTTTCGTCATCTCCGCCTATGCCCCGACAGATTGCAGCCCGGATGCAATCAAGGATGAGTTTTACCACCAGTTATCTGTTCTTCTCCAGAAAGTGCGTTCGACAGATATTGTAGTACTAGCCGGAGACTTGAATGCTCAGGTCGGGCGTCTAGGCACAGAAGAGAGTCGTTTAGGTGGCCGATGGGGACTCGTTGGTCGCAGGTCAGATAACGGGGACCGTCTACTGCAACTTTGCACAGACCACAACCTGTTTCTGGCTAGCACTAACTTTCGGCACAGTCATCGCCGATGTGCCACCTGGCGTCCTCCCTCTGCATCTCAAGCCTGGACTCAGATTGATCACATCGCGATCAGCTACCGCTGGCGTGGTTGTGTACAAGACTGCCGCTCCTTTTGGAGTACCTATCTGGACTCTGACCATGCCTTGGTCTGCGCCAATCTTGCCTTACTTTTCAGTGGACAACGAAGTGACCGCCATCAACGGATTGATGTTAGCAAGCTGGTTGCAACTTCTGTTGCAAGTAAGTATCGAACCGAGCTAGCCTCTAGGCTAGCTACCACTCCACCGAAAAGTATAGATGAGCATTGGTTGCAATTGCATGACGCCATGAAAATGGCGGGAACAGTCAGTTGTGGGTTTGCGAAACGTCCCGCTTATAAGCACTGGGTTTCTTCTGGTTCCTTACAACTCATTGAAGCCCGTCGGTCTACTCCGGGTGACCGTGAGTTTGACCATAAACGAAGGATGTTACGTAAGGAAATTGGGCAAAGCTTGCGTAAGGACCGAGAAGCCTGGTGGTCGATGCGTGCTAATGAGCTGGAAGCAGCAGCTGCATCTGGTAACTACCGGAAGCTCTTCCAACTCATCCGAGCCACTGGCAGCAAGAAGTCTGGTGTGAGTGAAACAATCTGCGAGGATGATGGGATGCCAATCACTAACATCCATCGACGTCTTGGACGATGGGCAGAATTTTTCGAAGGGCAGTTCAACTGGCCTGCTGCTCCGGCAACATCGGTCAGACTGTCCTGCCCTCCATGGCCGGTGACGACTGATCCACCAAATGAGGAGGAAGTCCGCAAGGAACTCCAACTCTTGAAGCGTTACAAATCACCTGGCCCAGATGACTTACCTCCGGCTCTTTTTAAAGATGGTGGTGACTTTTTGACTAAGGAATTGACGACGTTGTTTACAAAGGTTTGGGAACTAGAGAGTGTACCAACGTCATGGAATGAGTCGATAGTTGTCCCTATCTTTAAAAAGGGTTCACGTCGTTTCTGTAACAACCACCTTTCTCTATTGTTCAAAGGCCAACGATCGTGGTGTTTCTTGACATCAGGACTGCCTTCGATTCGTTGGATAGGACTGTTCTCCGGGATTGTCTATTGAAGAAGGGTGTGTCTGAGAAGTTTATTAACATCCTCAGGCAGAATGAGGGCATACAACCACCTTTCTCCATTGTTCCATTCGAGCAGTGGGTTAGGCAGGGTTGCCCAATCTCACCATTCCTCTTCAACTTTGCCATCGATGACATTCTGGAAACAGCTCTGATGAATGTAAGTAATGGTGGTGTGGATCTGTTGCCTGGAGAAAGACTTCTCGACCTTGAGTATGCGGGTGATATTGTCTTACAGTGCGATAATGCCCAAGGCATGCAATCCACACTTAATCAGTTGGCAATCAGTGTCCGTAGGTATGGTATGTGCTTTGCACCTTCGAAGTGCAAAGTACTTCTACAGGACTGGCAGGATTCCAATCCCGTACTCACCCTGGATGGTGAGCAGATAGAAGTAGTCGAGATGTTCATGTATCTGGGTAGCTGCATAAGTGCTGGTGGTGGCGGGAGTGGTGAGATCAATGCATGTATAGTGAAAACTAGAGCGGTTTATGCCAATCCGGGTCATCTTTGGCGCCTTCGTGACGTTAGTCTGGCTGTAAAAGGTCGGATCTACAACGCGTCGGTGAGAGCAGTTTCTGCTCTATGCTTGTGAAACCTGGCCTCTCCGAGTTGAGGACATTAGACGACTCTCTGTGTTCGATCATCGTTGTCTCCGAAGGATTGCTGACATCCAGTGGCAACACCATGTTAGTAATGTAGAGGCTCGGCATAGTGTGTTCGGGCTCAGTGACGATAATTCAATTGGTGCCAACATCTTGAAACATCGACTTCGGTGGCTTAGATATGTTCTACGAATGTCGTCCCAAAGAATTCCACTTCGTGCATTACTTGCCGACGCTGCGAATGGTTGGAAAAAGTGGAGTTGTGGTCAGAGTATGACATGGTGTCGTGGTATGAAAGAAAGCTCCAAAGGGCTGTCTTGTGTTGGCCCTTCACGACTCCTTGGCTGGGGTCCGAGAGATGGTGCTACACAGTGGCTAGAGACGTTATCAGATATAGTTCAGAATAAAAGCCAGTGGCGATCGTGATGTAACCTTCTTTTACTTTCTACATAAAAGTGTTTGTATCTTCCTTAACTGAAAGATTTCTTCTGGTTGCACCATTCCGTTTCCCCCATTATCATTGTTATTATTATTATTATTATTATTATTATTATTATTATTATTATTATTATTATTATTATTACACTACCTTACACTAATCTGGTCGTGTTTGTTCTTTTTTTACTCTCCTTACCTTCTTTTTTTCTCTCCCCATTTTCATTGTTTTGTGTGGCGCATATATATTTGGTGCCCTCTTGTACCAATATTTATGTGTTCAAATGAATAAATAAATAATAATCCAAATTATAACTCATCCCTTTACAAATACTCGTATATGTTCAACCAGTTGTTTATTATGCTATTTGATGGTCGATTCTGAAGTACTAAAATCTTACCTACTTTTGAACTGTCTCAGGGCTGATTAAAAATATGTTTATCATTAATACTGTGAGAGAAAATATAATGAACCTGCTCTATTTTTATCTGATCAATCCATGCGAATTAAAATGTTTTTGAAATTCACACTTCTCGATTACAATCATTACAAATATGATTGTTCTAAACAATCAAAGTAAGTGTAAACGAACTAGATCATAATTTGTCGTGCCCATCAAAACGCAGAACAATAACTCAGGAGAGTATGACCTCCATCAATGTAAATTACTCTATTTAAGACTACTTTATTCTCAATTCTTTGTTGCATATTAAATATCCAGTGGTTTTTATTCATCATTCCTCTTAATTTTTTCTATTCTATTTAAAATAAATCTATTTCTAGTTCTTTACGAGATCAAGGATTTCACCGGGCACGTACTCTTATTTTAGCACCAACTAAAGAAGCGGCTAGGCGAATAGTTCATACATTTTTCCATTTAATGCCTAAAGGCTCCACAGTAAGTCACCGACGACGTTTTGAACGAGATTTTGGTCCACAACCTGGAGATACCGACAAAGAGAAGAAAAAGGGTAGAAAACCTAAAGATTATGAAGAATGGTTCAGTGGCAAGTTTCTGTTAAATAATTTTCTTCTCATTTTCGTAAATACGAAGCTATCAGCATTTGAATGGAATTGGGAAATTATGACGATTGACCTTTAGACTAATCATTTAAGGATCTATTTATCCTGTGACTCAGTTATATTTTGAGTATGTTTTAGACAGTGTTGATCGTTGGCCAAATTTGAAATAAACGCACTTCTAAGTTCTTCCGAAATTTGATCCTATCTTATGACTTTACGGCACTTTGAAAAATACATCCAAATAAAGAAGTCTGTTTCATTACAGATACTTTGTAGTACTGGGTAAAAATTTTAAAATTATACTTCACCTATGAGCATCAAACGAATAAAATAACCATTCAAGAAACAATAATATTGTTCTGAAAATGTTTACAGAATGCATACCGAACCACAGGCGTAGTTAGGTCGATCCAAGTAGTAATGCTTCATATAAAACACAGATTTATGATTTTAGGTTGTTTGAAGTGTTATAGTTCAAAGATTGTCCATGAAGTACATTAAAAAAAACATGGATTACAACAATGTGAGGCATTATTTGGGAATTATTACGTTAATTCCTTCATTAACCGATCCAGCTACTCTTATTACTTGATATTTTTCGGACACCACTCAACTAGTATACACATTCGAACACGGTTGATCAGGAATGGAATTACATTCCAAATAAACAAAGTTGATTGGGAGTAGTAGTTACAACACGAAAACCGTTTTCGGATCTATAATTTGTACATAGGAATATTCTAGAATCTTCACGCATCTTCTAGCGCTGATTGCCTAAAAATGGGTCAGTTAGCGTGCTCCAACATCATCCTGCATGGAACATGCATCACTCCAATCTATGACTTACTAACACATTAATTCTTTGTAAGGGGACTAGGACATCCCATTGTTACATAAACAGTGTATCCAAGTTCGTTTCCAGTACCATTACAAAGTAATTGTAATCATCTACAACTAGAGAAAATAAAATGGAAACAGAAGGCACAGGACAACAACAGGAATAATTACTATGGTAGCTCTACCGTTACACATGTGCCAAGTTGTTTTATGATCTACTGTTCGGGATAAATACTATTTAAATTAGTTAAGTTTTCCAGGGACGAAGTGTAAAATATGAACAGGAATCGAAATTTAATGAATGGACTTCGTAATAATAATGACTGAACATTTAATGTTCGTATAATTTCACTAGTGGAATGTGATATATTTCAAGGTGTAAAATTACTTAAGTCAATTCCAGAAAAGTAACCATCGATACAATGAAAAAATAATGGGAGTGATTTTGTTTCATGAACATTTTGCGGCAAATTGTTCCAGTGTTTCGAAAATTTACTGGTAACGTAATTCTTATAGAGAGAAGATATCGAATAAGACTGATTCACTAATGTTAACATGTTATGGATGCTATAACTAGGTGTTTTTGCCTATTAGACTGTGTCATTAGGTGTAAGGTAAATGACAGAATTAACAGTGATGTAAGGTTGGGTTTATAGAGTATTGATTTTCTTTTAAGGACCTGAAGTTAATTAAATACATATAGATAATTGTGCAGACATACCCACAGTCTAAATTGTAAATATTTCCCATCTCATGTAGATTGAATACAGGCAATTCTGCTATACAAACGTGTTGAGTTCACGAATATCCTTTGCATGTCAGATCTTAAAAAAAATTTGCCATGTAAAAGCCTTAAGTAAATCTACTCTTTAAAATTATCATACATGTGATATCTTTTCATCATATTAAGTACAATTTTCAGCTATTTTTTCCTGTTCGCATTACTACTTAAGACAAGGAGTGAGTAGCATTACAAGTCATTGTACCTTTAACTAAATTCTGCATAAAAAGTCGCTCTTTGTTACATGTTCCTAAGCGAGTAATCGCCTTAAGTGTTTGAAAAGTCTTTGAAGTAAAATATTATCATCTGAATATTTTGTTTCATCATCAGCTATAAATCAACCGAATTTCATATTATGTGTGGGTATGAGATTTTAATATTTTCTACTGAATCGTACAAAACATTTTGTAAAATTAACATCTATGCTACATTGCATTACGTTTGACCATAGATATTCTACAATAACATTGGGTAATGTTTTACGCAATTGGATCATCCTACCGTGGTTTGTACTACTTGTACAGACAGTTATAAGTAGTATGTAGAAGGAATTGAAAATATAATTCTTATAAACAGAAGAGGAAAATAAGGAGAAGAGAAAGGGAAATAGAAAGCAATCCAAATAACAACAGGAATGGAAGGTACAACTCAAGGAAAACAGGGAAATAGTGCATTTAATGTATTGATTTCATATTTTACAAAATGCATAAGTTTGCATAATACAGTAAATTGATTTACTATCCAGGACTTCGTTCATCACACTACTATCGTAAAAAGTCATTATGTATATAAATAATGTAAGCAGAAGTGAATTTGCAAGTGAATATTTTTCACTGTAGATTATGTAACTTTTGATTACTTTACACCTTTTTTTCAAAATAATTTGCTAGGTAATTCAAGTGACAATTTTCGTATTGGTATGGCATTTTCTAAAAAGTCCGTAAAATTGTATTCTGCATTCCGTGATTCCGATATAATTCTAGCTTCTCCTTTGGGAATTAAAACTGTTCTCGATGATGAAGTGTAAGGTTTTTTTCTGTTGTATTGGTTTATGTTATCCCTCAATAGTTTATTTTGTGTGTGTGTGTATGTGATATAGTGCTTGTTGTATTTCAAGTACCTACGTAACTTATCTTTTATTCAATTAGACCATTTAGTGTACTTCTCATATCTTTCTTAAGTATGTTCTGATGATACCCATAAATACGATAAAAAATCCAGTTTTTTGCTACATTGATTAGAGAACACAATAGCTTAAGATCATCATCAAAGCATATTAATGTTCTCCACTACTCTAGACTTTTCTGAAATGGATGTCAATTTTCGCTTTGTGTCATACTACATTGTCTTTTGAATTCAGCTTTTGATCTCGATTGTTATCTGGTCTTTAAGAATCATGGAAATGTTAAAAAATGTGTTCTTCAGGTTAATCACTAGGAATCTTGGTAACAAGTTAAAGTTTCATAAATGCTTATTTTTGAAGTCTAATTCAAATCAGTTAGTTTGAATCCCCTTTAACACTTATCTCTTCACTCTTAGACTAGTTAATTCGACTAAAGTCAAGATTAAATATGGAGGGAAAGTGGCATTATTGAATGGTATATAAATTGAAAGCAATTGCAGTTGTACCTTATTGACATAATCAATTTATGTTCACAATATCAGATGAAACGTACAAAACTATGTATTATGAATATCCAGCATACTCATCACCAAAATACTACCTAGCCTGCGTTCTTTGTATCTGATACTTGAACCAATGAAGTTATAATCTAATCAGCTCCTGATGGTATAAGTGTACATGTAACTACCGCTCTTCCTAAAGTATCTATACAGGATCCTGCTTATAAACGTTAAGTATTTACAAGCGCTTTATAATCAGTTCATTCTAGTGGACAGGAAGTACAGTAGTATCCGTCATTTCCTTCAGATCATTTCGCAATCTCTAAACATGGAATGTAATATCTGGTAATGACAGCAGGATCTGAATCTAAAAACTTTCAACTACTCCAAATTATTTGAGTCACTTATGGTGAAATGATAATCTGATGTTAGTAAAATTACTAACAATCTTTAAAGGTTACTAAAACACTGAGCATGTATCTTCAAAATAAGAATATTTCGTGCTATTGTTTCAATGAAGTATGAAAACTTTGTGAGGGACTAGACCTAGATTAAATGAACTGACGTTAGTCGTTTGCGCTGGTTATAGTTTATTTCTATATAAATGTAGTTTCAGTGATGCGATCGGAACCACTTGATACTCTTGACACTGTTTACACTACAGTTGAAAGGCGGTTACTAAGCAAATGCTAACATGATCCTGAGTGCAACATTTTTTATAGATGGTATTGATTTTAGTTTTGTCTCATATCACATGATGATCGTTTTTGTAACTTGTTTTGTTTGAATCTAACACAATAAACACATGAGAATTCTCAAATATTGAGATAAAAGTTTAAATCTATTAAATTTCTATATCTATCTGAGCACTTGGACAATATAATTCTTTCTCTGCACAGCAAATTTACTCTACACTGTGCAATAAAACGATATAACTAATCATTGAGTTAGATTGATTTTTCCGTTCACTGTTTGCATGTACAACCATATCTTGAGTAATTCATTTATTGTATTCATAGTTACTTATCACATTTTATGATCCTGTCACTACCTAGAACTCCTTAACTTCTTTAACAGTAAACTGCTTAGTACTCAGTTATAGTTGTAGCTAGAAACTTTTCATTTGTTATCGTTTTCTTGTATGTTTACTAATTTACACATATTCCATAATATATTAGAGAGAAAGAAGCTGATATTCAATATATCATAGCATCTATCGAATTGTTGATTATCGATCAAGCTGAAGTGTTATTAATGCAAAATTGGGCTACTGTACAACAGATTGTCTCTTTACTCAATCAACGTCCAACTGTTCCTGTGTTTGCATCAGCTGCACGTATTCGATTATGTTACTTAGCTGGTTATGGTAAACGTTATCGTCAAACTCTACTATTCTCTGCCGTATCAAATTTTTTGATCACATTATTATCAGGTGAATGTGAAAGTAAGTTTATTTAACCAAAAACAATCAAGAAATATAATTATCAATGCTAAAATATAATCGATTAATTTTCATTATGAAATGACAGATCATCGTCATGATCATCATAAAGGTTGATGTGTTAAAGTCTGGTCAAAAAATCTGTTCCGAATATATTTAGAATAATCAGTATGGAGTTGGAGAGATTACTAGGTTTTATTGGGATCTCATGAACTGATCTAAGTTAGACAACCATTGAAAACCAGAAAGCACTGGACGGCACTGTTGATTAGTTCCATACTACGATGAAATTGCCATCCAGTGCATCCAAGTTTTCAATGTTTGTTTAATTTAGATCGGCCCATGATCTTCATAAAATAGTATAATAATATGATTATAAATGCTAAAATATGATTGATAGATTTACATATTGGGTTTTCTTTTAAAAAAAGTTGGCTCCAGTACATATATGTGAATAAGAAATGGATGTTGTGGAACATTAATGGTTCACTAGATAATATATTCAATAAGTATGTCAATCATGTTCTCTCCACATACACAACTACCACTACCCTTTCCTTAGTTAAATGTTTGTAATTAGTCATCCAAAATCGAAAATGCTCTTAAAATTAAGGTACGAGTATGTACTGTATGTATTGGATACGCTTATGTAAGGTAAATTATAGACCATTTTTTTAAATCGTCATATATCTTTTCTGTATATATAGGATTTTTCATACTTATCTGTATTTCTGTTGTGAATTGAGTTTGGAGAGGAACTTCTAGGAAACTTTGACTGTAATACTATGACTATATATGGATAAATAGTAACTTTGAGATTCTCCAACGACAGTTATACTGTTCCATGAACTTAGATCTTCTTCGATAATGCATTCTTTCTTCTGAGTTATATTTGATTCTAAATTGATAGTTTGTGAGTGATTTTCAAATTTTTAACTCATTTAGTAGCGTTTCTATAAGTTACATCTACGATTCTATTATTAACTGAATTCATAATAGTTTCTATGCATCCATAGTGAATTGATCGAACTCATTCCCATCGTCAACGTTATGAATTAAGATTTAATAATTTGATGAATGAATTTTTCTTTGTGTTAGAATGAATGCAAAGAACACTTATTCATAGATAAAATGGAATAGCCGAGAAATGATAAAGTTGGTCGATTGATCAGAAATTAGAGACATCATCAATAAATAGTTCTTTTGTTTTTGATATATGCTTCTTCACAAAATATGGAATACAAGAATAAACACGATGAAATGTCATAGGGTATTAGTTTGTAGATCACACTTAATCTCTAATCAATTAAGACTTGATTCTTGGGCATTTTATCAATTTTAGAGGTTTTCTTTTATTCTCATTGAATTTTAGATTTTCAAGGCATGAATTATATACCACCATTATCATATTACCCTGATTTGTATCCAACATTTTTACCCGATTGGGTACGTGTTCCTGGACTGAAAGCATCTATTCGAACTGGACAGAAACGTCAACATTCAGATATGAATGATATAAAGGAAGAAGATAAATCATTAACAAATTATAACTTCAAGTTACATTTAATTTCATTTGTAGTTCCTGGACAAATTTCTGTTAAATCATCTTGTACAAAATTGGTCAGTGAAAATAATCAATCAGATTCAGACGATGAGACAGAAATATCACCTAAGACGACAACTGATAATTCTCTTCATTGCCTTTCTAATTCCTTAAAAATAGATTCATCAACAAATTCACTATTATTATCTACTAAAACACTTGGATTCACTGATTACGCATATTTATGTAAGTTGTCGTTCGGAATGTTAAGTTAATTATCATCTTATTATTAGTAGTATCAGTTAGAAAATTGAAAAAACTCGATAAGATTGGATTATGATCTCGTATAAGTGGTGTAACTCACCGTTTCATTTTCAGTGTTAATTGTTAAATGATTGAACTAAACAAACTAATGTAGTTTGTCCTGAAAAAAAACTATAATCTTATTAGAATATTGATGTGTTCTCGTCTATGCCATTAAGTTCACATTATTCTTGTTAACTGTATTCATCACACACGCGATCGATATACTACTCAAATCCTCACATACCCATACCCTCTAATCAGAACATCAGAAAGCCAATTAATTGTTCATAAGTACCTTTAATTATTATTTATACATATTACTTACATGTTTATATGAATCAACTATAATACTCTAGTTAATAGATCTCTTATAGGTAAATATAACTGAAATATTTGTGATCCAAAGTTGAGTAAAAGTCTTATAGTTAGTTGATTACAATTAGTATGAACGGTAATACTACGATGACAAATAATCGATTAAAAAGTAGCTTATTAATTACTACTATATAAAAAGTACCATAAAACGACTAGTAAACGTACATGTTAATTTTTCTAGATGAATGGAAACCCAAATTTCTGATTTCTCTTTCTTTTATTCAATATACATGGTTACGTTTTTTTTATATCACTTCATATAGTTCAATGTAAGCTTTGAGTTTTAATGACTGTTTTTGTTTATAAATTTACATAATCTTTATTCCTCTCTTCTGTATTACATTTTTTTTACTCAGCAGGACGTAATGTTTCTATAGCTCGATTAAATGCCTTTAAACAACGAATATTACCTAGGCTACGTCGAGGTTCAGATCCTCGTGTTCTTATATATGTGCCAGATTTCTACGATCTTGAAGAATTGCGCCAACTTTTAATTGCTGAATCTTTGGATTTTTGTTGTATTAATGAGTGGGTTCTTTTTAAAAAAATTAACGTTAGTTACCCTGTTGTTAACTAATCTTATTTTACTATTAAGGTGAAAGGTAAGCTTGCTTCTCTCCAGGTGTTCAGGGAGTATCATACCCTTCTTACACATTACGATGTGAAGTTGGATATTTTTGTGTAATATATTCGACTTTCAACCTCAGTAAGCTGAAGGTTCAAACCCTGTTCTGTTTACCCTGGTTTGGGTAGCTTTACAATATCAGTAGCCCCCATTAAAAATGCGTGAATTAATGTTGGATACTGTACTAGGTAAATAATCTACATAGTTACTAATGCCTTATGATATGACGTAGGAAGTAGTCTCAAAGCCTATTTTTACACAATATAGACACTTTATGACTATTTACCGTATAAATTTTCAAGTAGATGTTTTGCTCTATCTTTTTAGCTTGTTAATTAAATGAAGTAAAAGGTGGAGAACAACTTGGTAGTCAGTTTCTTATAATCGTCAACAGATGTACAAAATGGTCTCAACTACCTCACCGTTGTTTGAAAGCGGCAGTGAAATTAGACAGACTTGTCACACATTACCATTTCCATTTAAACCTACCATTAAAAATACTAGAAACATCGTTAAACTGAATTGTATGGTGATAATGTAGACTTGTTCTATAGAGAGTGAATGGACAATATCATTTTACTCTGCGATACAGTGTAAACTTATCAAGTCCCAGAGTATGTAGGTGTTATGTGGTTAACACTATTCAAGTGAAATGTACACATGAAACGGCTTTGTGTTTGGATTCACTTTTAATAGTCAACTTATAGAAGTAATCAAACTATTCGTGTATCTGGCCAGTTTTAGAAGTGCTACTGAGAGTATAGCAATAAAATGTCAGTTTACTTATTATCAGTATAAGGTTTTAATTGAAACCACGAACCGATCAATGTTAGACCACCATTGAAAGCCTTGATGCACTGGACGGTCGTTTCGTCCAAGTATGGGATTCCTGGTTAGTATATACTGATGTAGGTCATTTTGGAAACAAAAACACCAGTTTACATTATCATGACAGTAGCAGCTCTATAGGTTGATAAAACCTGATCCCGTTGAAATAAAGGTGTTCGATTATTCACAACATATGCGTAATTCGTCCTAAGCTCACATCTAGCATATGTATAGATCATGTTTTTAAGTATATTTGTTATTTTATAGCTGATTAGACATATTTCTGTTACCACAGCTACCCTATCAATCATTACTTATTTAAAAATTTGTACGTAGTAGAATCTTCTAGTTAAATTAGCTGATAGCCTAAACAAGACGAAGCATCAGTCTATCACTTTAAGGTGAAACGGTCTTAATTATTTTAAAGTGGTGTTCAACATATTAACGTGCACGAGCATAAATATGTTACAAAATATTTTTATTCGGTTTTTACATCTCGTATTTTCGTTGAAGTATCTGAGTGCACCAACCACTTCACTTACCTTAGACGTCTCAGGTCTGGTAGATTGGGGTCTGGCGAAATCTGGGCTCGGATTCAGAAGGGCCGGTCGGGGTTTGACAATTTGTATCACTTGTGGCATAGGCAAGATATCCGTCTTCCAAGCAAAGGGCTTTTATACTGTTCATCAGTTCCCCCTTTCCTACTTTATGGGTATGAAACATGGCCTTTACTAGTATTTGATCGTAGGTCCCTTAAAAGCATTGCTCGCGTATGGTGAGATGACCGAGAAAGTACTGTCGGGGCTAGACATAGGACATTTTGCAGCTCAGACCAACGCACATATCTGTGCCCAGACCCTATGTAATTGATATTTGTCTCTGTTGCATTACTGTAGCTTCAAATTACTTTGCTAGGGGTTTTTTAATTTTTCTTCAGATATACAGAAGACTCAGAAGCTGAACGATTTCGTACCTTGTTTGGTGATGGTCGTATTCGTATTTTGTTAATAACTGAGCGCTATTACTTCTTTCGAAGGTGAGTACTTACTATTCCTATTATGGCTCGCCAGTATTGATTTTACTGTTCGTTTCTGCCATCACTTCACATGTTTTTTCTTTGTACTGTTGTGTTGTATTTCAGTTTAAACTGTACATTTACTGCTTGTTAGGGTCGTTAGATTGTAAAGTTAAAACGGTAACTTGAATAACGAAATATGCCTAGTGGTATATCTTAACTCAGTTGAGTACAATAATTCACTACCATCTCAATGGTTTGTGAATGACATATACTCTCCTCGGAAATCGAGCATTTTTAGTTAAAATAGTAGTAGGCTCGGGTAAATTATCCCCTGAGATTTTTATGGATGGTGGTCCAGTTTTAGCTTTTAAGTTGAATGAAATTTTAGCTGGAGTTTGAAAACTGGATATAATCCCATCTGACTGATCATGATCGCTGCAGTCTATGAGAAAGGGAAAAATCCTCTTATGGATAACCACAGAGAAATGTTTCGCAGCAGTTCGCTCTGTTCTTCTTTACAAATGTCAGATATGGCCTTTAGAAACAGGATATTCGTATGTTACCGGTATACGACCATAGGTGTCTACTAAACATTGCTCGTATATTTCGAGTTAGCAATTATAAGGTTAGACGCAGAATGTTGAGTATGGCAAATCAATTGACGTCGTAGTGAATCTTTATCGACTAAGGTAGTTAGGACATGTATTACATATGCTCATCCACCGACTACTTTGACGCGTGGTAACGGATAATGTAGGGGGCTGAAGAAAGTTGGGGGCACCCAAACTAAAACATAAAACCAGTCCATTAAGACACTGACTATTGGACTGAGCCATGTAGATAAGTCCACGCTATCTTATTGGTTTTAGCATTATTATCGTAACCAATCATAAGACTTTGGTTAACATGGCTCGAAATCATTCGCGATGTCACAGGTGCATTTACTCTTTGTCTTCCCGTAAATCTTAAGTTTCTTGTTTGACTAATTTATACATTCTTCTTGAATCGTAGGTTTTATATTTGGCTTTATCTAATACCACTTATACATTTACTATCTCTACTACTGATACAACTGAGGGTGGGGAGAGTCAGCTCTCCCTCTTCAAATGCTCTAACATGGCCACGCGTATACAGTCACTGCCAGAGAAGTCCTACTCACTACCTTTTCGTGGCGGGGGTGTTGTTTACAAAATTGAGGGCGAAAAGCGAATATCCGGCGCTTTAACCAGGTTTGTGGACACGGACGGTTCACCTAGGGGAGTTGGAAAACCCTGATTCCAAACCAGTGATGAACGTGGGCTCCAGGATCTTAAGGGAGCGAATGGGGTATGAACCGATTGTTAGACACCAGCTACCATGTAACTGCATTTCCGGACGTTGCTCCATCGACTGGTGGATCAGACCCTTAGTTCGAAGGTTCCGAGTATAGCTCCCTAAGAAAACCACCTACTTCGGTTTGGGCACCCGGACAGTATTACAGTCCACTCACAAATCAAGTGACTTATGTGGTGCATATGAATTCGGTGTCCCTTTATACCAATATTTATGTGTTCAAATAAATAAATAACTGTGAGATTCGCTCTAACAATTTCATCTCACTGTGTTAATAGAGTATGGTAACTTGAACCGATGTACTCATGTAGTAGGTTCTATGGTGCATTTGGCTGACCGATTATCCAATTATATTGATTTTTATTCCTGAGTACTTATTTTTGCTTATCTTGATGGTATAAACCAAATTACGTTAATTGGAGATTGATATTAAATCAAGGCTTTTTTTTACTAATAATGTATTATCTGAATGGAACTCTGCGATTTCCTGAAAAGTCAGACAACAATTCGTAATAACAAGAGGTTGCTCAACGGGGATGGATATATGTTTACCCATACGATAAATAATTGTGACATGAGCTAGCCAACAACTATGTGGAACAATTAACTGGTCTTATAGAACAAAGGGAAATATCCATATCAAAGGATTTAATCCTCCTAATTGTCTTTTCATTTTTTCTCACTCTTTTAGCAAAAATAACTGTACACTGTGTGGAGATTACATAAACGCTAAATTTCGTAGACCAATAAGCAAATGTTCTTTAAATTTGTCATTTATAATCAAGAATAATTTGGGTTTGTTGAGTGACCTACTTATGTTTAGAAAGTAATAAATCTCAGTTACTTTTCGGAGTCCTACTTAAATAATTGAGGGGGAAAAAGCCACAATGTAGTTACAAAGACATTAAAGGCTTTTTCTCAATTTCTTAGTTTATCAATGTAAACTAGAATCTTGACCGTCTATTTCGTTATATAATGAAAATTAGTTCTTCTAATTGTTTTATATTTATTCTATGAATACAGGCGAAAAATTCGTGGTCCTCAAACATTTATTTTTTATGGTCCACCAACATTTCCATGGTTTGTCAAGGAATTATACGATTTCCGACATTCAGAAAGCGAAATACAATACAATATGACTATACTCTATTGTCATCCGATAGAAACTCATACTGTATCTATGATAACTGGTTCAGTAGAATTTTAATAATAATGATACTTTCATGTGTAAATTGTTTGTTTTACTTCAGAACATTTAACCATGAGTAAACTGATTGTATTCGTTTTGATGAATCTATTTTTATAAGTTCATGAGTATGTAAGGTATATCGTTTCAGAATAAAAGATCGTTTTACCGTTTGCTTTTAAGCTATATATATATATAATATACATTGAGGCGGAGGTATTGTTATATCTTACGAGATTCATTTCTTTCCAGCTTATGAGTAACACATTTCCACACTTTAATAACAATCCAACTATAGTTTACAACCTATTGTAAGAAGGTAAATCTTCATAATGTACAATATTTCTCTTCTAAAGTATGTAAATCTGTTGTATGTCTAAGTGGAAAACGCATTCAACTGTCAATGTGTCAAGTGGTATTCTTCTTTCAATCATCCATATTGAATTTCATAGATTTTTATTATTAGCCTTTGTCTTTGGTAGTATGTGTACTTATAAATATTCAAAACTCATCCCGCTTCAATGGTTATTTCTCTCGGGGGAAGATGTTGGGGATTTGTAGTCATATATTTTTGTTAAACACACAAATAATGAATGATAGTTAATCGTAGACTGCGTGTCATAATTTCGAACCCTGAAGTGCACACTATAACGAGACATGTCCAGCACACCCTAGTGCCTTTTAATGGTACCCCAACTGAGCTCAATCTATGACGAATATAACCTACAAATGATGAAATGTTGCTTTGCTTCATTAGTCGTTATTGCCTATTGCATATATGTATAAACATAAATCCAAAATATTTTATACGGTAATGTATTTACGAATTGATCTCTGTTGTTGTAAAATATCAAAACTGATGTGGTAATTTATTCATTTTACATGAAAGAAAAAAACATTAGAAATTTAGTAGCAGTTGGATTACTACACTTTTTTAACGCCATCTTGAAAGAAAGTATCAGTGTGTTGCATTAAATGGTTATATTTAGTGTATTTTAGTCTATCAAATCTATTTGTAATTAACATTTTACGAACACACGTACTCAGTAATATACGTATCTAACTGAAATCCATGGAATTTGCCCAAATAGTCATTTGTAATCAAAATGATGCATGTGCTGCAAATACTTTATGTGTTAAAAGAATAGTAGTTTCGTTTTAAAAGATAATGAGAGGATGTTATATTAGAAAACAGAATATCTCAAATTGTGTGTATATACAAAATAGAGTCCTAGTGAACAATTCAAGTTATCATAGTATCACAGATAAATGGAATAGATAGATATGCATCACAATATTTCTTCTTTTTTTTTGCATGATAAACAATCATAAGTAATAAGTCAAAGATTTAAAAATCATGAATTTGGAAATAAGTTCGAATTCAGATAAAAATGTCTTCTTTCACATCACATATAAGAAGTAAGATTTCTTAAATTGATAAGGTCAGTATTGAATACTTGAATATAATGCACTTCAAAAAAGTATTTATATCAAAAGTACTAAGAAAAAAATATACCAGGCTTAAATGATGAATTCCAGTTATATCATCGACCACTGCGTCTCTGTGCTAATGTAGTGTGGCAACTCGAACTGATATACGTACGTGCGAAGTTCTACGTTGTTACTGACTGACTGACCAGTTATATCTGTTGTTTAATAGCACAATCCACTCTTATATCCTGATTAAGTTTTTTAACACTACCAATTCGATTCATTGTACATTCGAAACGTCCAATTGGTTGACAATGAGATTCTTTACAAACTTTCATAAAATTATTATATTCTATTGATTTGAAACGCCAAGGTATTGAAAACGGTGTTAAATGAGTGACATACTGTGATATAAGAAAACATGAAGAGAAAAAGTTTTCATTAGATTAGTTAATTCGATCAGTAAATAATGCATACAGTATAAAGGGATTTGTGGAGATTATAGAATTTCTATATTCTAAATCACGTACTGTTTCTAACTAGGTCACTACTAAAAACGAGGAAGCACTGGATAGTTGTTTCCTTTTAGTGTGGGACTCTTCAGCAATTCGTATCCACGACCCCCCTCCCAAAGTTAGCCGAACTTGGAACTTTCGTTTTCATATGAGGCACATTAACTCCTAGATCACTGACTCGGCGCATCCAATGGTATGTCGAAGTTAAATCATTCCAATGTATTACATGTATATCTCCGATTGTCTGCGATGGATCACTATCTGACACCTAACATTATTGAAATCTATTGACCACAGACTCTGACTAGAACCCTAAAATTGCTATTTGAAGCTAGTCACTAGTGTATACATGATTATGTGGAGATTGTAGTTTTTTTCATAGTTTAATTCATGAGATGGTCTTAATTAGAACAACAATAAAAATCAGATACCTTAAATAAATGACTATTTCTGAAAATAAAATCCTTATAGTGTATGATAGTATAGAAGAAACATTTACACGAAAATCCTCTCCTACATGAATATGAATCAGCATTCAGCAAAATAACAAACATAAAATACATAGGATAGTAAGCCTTTATTATTACAGTTTATTTGTACAACCTATTTTTCCAGGTCACAAGAAAAACCTATTATAGTTTAACATTAACTAATTACTGTAATTCAGACAATTGATTCACTTTTCATAACTTTTTTTGAGTTTGATTGAACATATGTCTGCACTTTAATATTTATCTATCCTTTCGTTGGTTGTAAACACAGATAATCAGTGAAAACTCTACCCACTTATTGATCACCATTCAGAAAATATACATTCAATTCTTTGGACTCATTTCCTTTCCGGTGGTGCTTGCTCATAGAGTGTTTGTCGAATTAACCAAATAGTAACAACACAAACTCTCTCAATAATTAATGTTCTGGCTTCTGCATATTCTTGAGTAAATATTCATAGGACTATTAAAAGAATTGGCCCAAGTCAACAAAAAAATACCCAGTTAACGTGACATTATCCATATATTCGATTCATATTGAAGAATTAACCTGAATAACAAAAATTATTCTTTTTTTCCGATATAGATTACGTACAGCAATATTTCATGATTCTATCAAAGTGATTAACATTGCAAATAAAACAATTAAAACTTTTATGTGCACATATGCCAATAAGAGACTGATCAGTTGCAGTCCTAATCATCGATGGGAAGATCCAAGTAAACAATACCAATTGAATTTAAACTTCACCCCATTGTACAAGCGAGTAGCTATCAAAACTCAGTAGCTAAGTGTCTGTGTGCTAATGTGGTATGGCAACTCGAACTGATGTACATACGTACGAAGTTCTACGTTGTTACTGACTGACTGAGCTAAGTGGATAACGCTATGGCATTGGAAGCGAATGGTACTGGGTTCTAGTCCCAGAGTGAACATCAACTCTGAGATGCAGGTACATCCAGCTGACGAGTCCCAGGTAGGATGAAACGCGCGTCCTGGATTCCACTTCTAGCCACTATCTATCTTTGCTTATAATAAAAACTTTTAATCTTAACATTTACAGTTTGTTGTTTATATTTGACTAAAAGGGGATGTTTAAACTACTCATTACTCTATGATGAAACTGTACAAACAAAGAATTGAAAGGATTATAATTACTAGTTTTTAACTAACATCTATCGACCGAATCATTGTTTAAGAGAACAATTATCTCAGTTACTTGGATAATCTTTTTAACAACAAAAGAGTTCCGAGGCGAACTATGAAATTTTACTATTTTGATATTTTACTGAAACGACAAATAGATGGCTATCTACAATGATCAAACTTATCGGTCAAAGGAAGGAAGAACTTTTCAAAATTTTTTCAGTATATCATTCTCTAATCTTAACCAAAGAAGGAATGATCTAGTATTCACAATTAAAAATAATTTTGGCGATTAAAAAATTGAACATATCTTCTTGATATGTGCAATTTAGAAGTATTCCTATAGCCAACTCAGCATTTTCATGTCTTGAAGATGTATAACTTGGATATTGTGAAAAAGTTTCAACCAATAAATATCGTTAATTAAAGTATGTGGTGATCCGAAATATTAGGATGCGGATGATAACCACTGCCTACACCATAAGGTAACACTGAGTTATAGATATTTGGAGAATTAAAAAAAAAACAATAACAATACAGTGACAAGATAAACATACAGCCTTAGTGATTCTATCGTCCAGAAGGTCACCAGTTAAAGATTCAATGGTTTCGTTGACAGTATCGTATAATTTGTCCGCGGAACCTGTTTCTAGGACATCATTCTTAGTAAAGTCCCCAGTAATTTGATGATTATCTTCCACCGAGAGATAGCTATGTGATTTCAGTTGACGATTATAAGGTTGGTTCTGACCATTTGAAAAGGAACTACTTAGTGCTAGACGTCTGGATAAGTAAAGTTTTGAAGCACAAATATAGAATCGCATATTAGACAATTCAAATGTTATTGGGTCTTTGCAAAGTAGATTTTGACTGCAGTATGCTTCTGGTGTTATAGTTGAATCTGGGTCAGTGTCCACACAAGTAATGTTTAGACTGAAGATAACGCTAAAGTCAAAGTGTGGATAAGAATGAACAACAGAGAAAGTTTTAATTTTGGTTAGGAAGTATGTGATGAAAAGTTGTATCTTCCTGAAAACAATAGACACAAATGAATGAGCGTCTTTTTAACTATCTTAGGTCATGGCAGTATAAGGAGCTGAAAAATTTAGGAAACGCATGTAACAGGAGAAAAATTGACCAAGCGTTTGCGTCGGTAGATATATTCAATATGTTTATCAATTGAATTAGAACTATTCGGTACAGCTTACGTACGTCTGTTAACCCTCGTGGAGTATAGGCCACTGAACAGTAATTTCCAACCAACTATGTCTTGGACTTCATTTTCCAGTCATTCGCAAGTGCTATTCATTCTTTTGGTGTCTGCCTGCAATTCACGACGCACTGTCCTCTTCAATCCGCCTCTTTTCTTCTTGCCTTGACGATCCCAAGGTAAGGTTTGCCTTGTGATATAGTTTGTTGGTCTTTGTAAAATTTGACCTATCCACTTCTAGTGTCTTTTCCCAATTTCTACTTCAACTGGAAGTTGCTTTGTTCTCTGCCATAGTAGGTTATTGCTGATGGTGCCTGCCCAACGGATCCGCAGTATCTTGTATAGATAACGATATATGAATACCTGTACATCTTTGATGATGGTTGTAGTAGTTCTCTTAGTTTCAGCTCAGTACAATAGGACTGTCTTGATGTTTGTATTGAAAATTTTAACTTTGGTGTTGTCTAAGTTATTTTGGGTTCCATATGTTCTTCAATTGTAGGAATGTTTGCCTTGCTTTGTCAAACAGTCCCTTTACATATGTATCGGTGCATCAGATTGTTAATATTCTCTGGGTAAATATCATGATAGGCTTTTTGATGTCATAACTTATTAAGTAATAGTTCCTAAAATCTTTTCAGATTGTTTCACTTCAACATAGAACATCCAGAAACACTAATTCATTCTAATCCTAATTCAGGATTGTGGATGGTTTATCGCGTAGCACGAAATATGTACGAGAACTAACATATTGATACATATATTTAGGGTCAGATAAATACCACACATTAAAAGCAGTACATATCCTTTAGATACTATTGTATTATTTTATAATCCCAACACATTAAATTTAATAACGCTTCACAGTTGCTTCTAAATATCATTTTTCCCAAAGAGAATGTAACAGTGAAAATCTTTTCAACATGTACAACGCTTATCTGAACTAGTACGTAACAAAATGTGATTGTCGTCAACTTATTCTCTATTTATACTTGAAACTCTGTTTGTCTAAAAGATAAAGTACTGGCTTGAGCATATGAAAATTATTGAGGGTTGTAGAATGCATTGTAAAGTCTTTAGGATATCAGAATGAACTGCAGATGGTGTAGACGTTTAGAAATTCATTCATCTGAATCTTATCTACCTTGTCACAAGTTTAAATACGATTGTTTCGGTCTAGTTAACTTAGTGACATTTATAAATCGGCTTGGATTTTTGTCATTTCTTGAATATGTATGGAGTTTCTGAGCTGCCTGACTTTTATTTACGACTTACCAAGTGAGTTAACTATTATATAGATTAAATATTTGTAGTAGTGAAGATTGGTTGATGAAGTATGGGTTTGTCATTATTGATAGACGTTCTAAGCTGTGAGGTCCTCGTGAATAAGCACATGGCGTAAGTTGGTAGCAGCCAGGTTAGCTTTTCATAATTGTATAGCTTATAGTCAGACTGAGTTAACAATGTTGAGCTCTGAAGCAACATTCTGCAGTTAAAGCAGGATTAATGAAACTCGAGAATTCGTGCAGAGCGGGATGGAGAATGATGGTCGGCGGCCTATGCTCTATTGGGAGTAACAGGCGTAAGTAAGTACTTAATTTGTCAACATGACTGCATCGTCTTCGTATTTCAGGTATATAATTGAATATCCTAATAGTATGTCATTCCCTAAGAAGTCAGACGATCTCTAGGAGCGTACATATAACGTGGCCAGTACAGATGATGGTGTACCGTAAGCCTTGACTCAATCAATAATAATATGGGTAAATAACCTTCAAGTAGGCGTATGCGCTGTTCTTCACATGATGTCCAACAATAATGAAAACTTCTTAATGTAACATTCAGTACAAAAAATGCAAGACAATTTAGAGCACATTCATTTCTGAGGCATATATTCTTCCCAACACTTCAAGAAGTAATGTTTGTTAACAATAAATATATAACTAGTAAGCATATTATTATTCACTCACTATGTTTTAGGTAAAGGGAATATACTCAAATTGAATCCAAGTGGTTTGATAATATCTACTGGTAGAATACAATAATGTCCACTAGGCATTGTAAGTGCAAACTAAAACAAAAAAGTTCTTTATTGATTATAATGAACATTCATTCGTTTACACTAAAATCCATTATTTAACTATTGAGTACAAAAACAGTATAAACCGAGTATGATTATAAGTAAATTGCAAATAATTTGAATAAATAATACACCTTATTGTAGGAGGGGCTTGTGATACATACCAAATGGTCAAATTGAATCACTGGGTTTTCCTAGGAAATAACCAAGTCACAGAAACAATCTATAAAACAAAAGACCAACAACAGTAGATTCAATTCCTACGTATCTTGAAATCGATGTGTTGAGAATCAAGGAGCAAGATATATCATCTACCTTGATTCTTTAGTTTTTGTCGAAAGAATCCCGTCACGTTAAGCGAGCAGAAAAGCACTTCTCTTAAAGAGACTATCAATTCACGGTCGCATAAAGATGTTTAAAGAGAAATGCACGGCTGGATAAGTACTTAGTAATGACGACTCTCGCGTCACATGTGCATAGTCTGTCAGACAAAGTTAGTAAATTTTATCCTGATGATTTTCTTGGTTCAACCAGTAAAAAAAGATGTAAAGCGTATGAAAGACATGAAGCATGAAGTTCGATTACGGAAATTCTGCATATTCAAAGCTGGTTTTAGAGAACAAGAGCTATCATTGAAAAATGAAGAGGGATGTGCTGTTTGATAATGGTCAGGTACTCATGCATACGATAACTTGACTATAAGCTATTATGATGATGCATAATTTTATTTCACAAGTCTTTAAGGGTAATTTCAATGGTCTAAATTCTCTAGAATTATAGACTTAAACGTTTTCATATCAAACAAACGATATGGCAAAGTATGAATAACTAATTGTTTTCAGAATCAATATACTGATGACAAGGTTCAATGTAAATAAAAATAAAAACCATCATTACAATGAAAAATAATCAATTCACTTAATGAAATACATATATGTATATATGTACTTACTTGATCATTGCAAGATGTAGCCGATAGATATAATGGTCTACTTAATTGTAAACAACATCCAGGTGGAAATGTTGGCATAGGATGATTAATTTTACATTTTAAACTTTGTGATAATGGATTATATTCTCGTATAAAATCAACTGGTCCATCTTCTAAAATAAATTGACTAAATAAATTTTGATGCTTTTTATGCAAATGTTCATCTTGATGATTTTCCGATGAATTAGAAATTAATGAATAATCATTTTCACTATATTGATTACATATTTGATAACCACCATCAACAGTGGTACTGGATTGATTATTGAAAATTGTTTCCTCTTTAGTCTTGAATACAAAATTTTTATTATTTGAACGAATACGATATAGACTTGTGCTTAACTTACAATCTTCTGATAAGCCGAGTTTGCCCAATCTTAATTGAATTGGAATTGGTTGACATGTACCAAACACAACTATGGATAATAATTAAAGTAAACAAGAGTATACTTTAAATTAAGAGATTAAGAACAGGTTCAAAAATGATTCATAGAGTAGATAATTAATATTTTAAGTATCTGGGTGTTGGATATCTAAATGAACGTAGTTCAAACAATGCAAACAAGTAAATTGATCTCGACATGATACTGAAAAGTTTCATATCAAAAAAGTGAAATATCTTTCACATGTCTCAACAATTCTGTTGAGGTCGTTGATAAGTCAGTCAAATCAAACCGTGATTGGCTTATGAGAGAAGACAAACATATCCGAGGACACTAAACATACGAAACTATTTCATACATAAAACCAATTTCAGTCTCGTTCCACTTGTTGATTACTTTGAACTGGTCTGCTGATAAATCCATTTGCAGACTTAATCTGGTTCTTGATCATAGTTGGATAAATGAGTTGAGTAGCTGGATTGATCGAGTATTGTGTCATGTTAAGCCTATTAATCTAGTGCCCAGTCCCACTGATATCATTATTGAGTATCTAGTGTCCAGGATAGGACCGACAAAACTTGTTTACTTTGTCGTAATAGTTGCTTAAACAGATATGTAGCTGGAATATATAAACAATGTCCAACTGCTAATAATATTTCCTGGTGGTCCATTTTGTTGGTTTCTTAAACTTCTGTACCTGATATGTATGAAGATAACACCTCACAGTTGTCACACACTAGTACAGTCAGCAGTGCAACTCCACCCAATAACTTTAAGTCGCTTCTCTTAGTCTTACAATTAGCTATCCAGTCAACCTGGCTGGAATGATTGGATCTACTAAAGAAACAAATACTCCAACCCACATCGATAAATTGGGTCACCAACCTGGCAAGGTGACAGAAAAATATTCAGTCGCCCCTAATTTTAGGAAGTTATTTATGCGTGAACAACAGACTAAATGATTAATTATACGATTAGAAGGTACCGATGACGTGAATTTTACTTCCTCATTGAAATGATTCAGGTTTAGTACTGTGGTGTTTGAATGAACTAATGATTCCTTTGTACTACGTTCGTGCTTATTGAGTACTTCTTGATCCAATTGCGTTATTTCTAAGATTCTTAGTTCGTACTATAATTCAAATACTCCTAATTATCATAAGTACCCATTACAAAAATATATTTTAACATGAATTTAGTAAAGTAGTTTAAGGCATGTACAAGAAAAAGAAATCCTGTTAAGTCAGTGATTTGAGCTGTGTAGTAAAAGCAAAGTAGCCAATTATATTACTCATGAGAAAAAGTTGGTTGCTAGAAATGTTCAGGCAATAACTAAACTATTGCTGGTCATAATGACGCTAACAGATATTGAACATCTTGTTTTATAACTGTTTATTCGGATCAAGTTATTCACCTTAAGCTACACTATATTCCAGGCTGAAAGAAAAGGAGCTTCATTATGAAACCTTTAGCTGTTTTTAGTAGTATCTGTGAAAACACAAAGTAGTGAAATACGTAGATATTGAATGAAAATGGAGAAATTTTGGAAGAAATATAAGACCACTACCCATTATTTTTATTCACTAAATTACCTGGATATCGTTTACCACTCGAGTTATTTGATATTGAAATCTCTGGTTTAGGTAACAATGTTTTCATCATTGCAGTATCACGCCAACTAGATCCAAAAACATCACCATCTATATCTGATACGAAATTTACTTCGGAACGACTATTAATTGACGGTTCCACATATTCTTGTTCTGTTAATGCTTCTTTTAATTCAGTATTGATTTCATCAAGACAATTAATGAATATTTTCTCAGGAATTAAAAATCCTGGTGCCTAAAGTATATGAAAAAAACGACAAGACAAATATTAACAATCTAACAAATATATAATGACGTTTCCATGATCTAACCCACTAAACACTGCTATATTTTATTCTGATGTGCGTATAAAAGCATCGAATAATTTGGGAAATATAAACCAAAGAATAAATTGTATTATTCACTGTAAGCTACTTCAGAATATAAAAGACAAACGAAAACACAAGCACATATATGTGTTTAAAGTTCTAATATAATCTGCATATAAATTCTGATGACGTCAGAAGTAGAATGACATGTACTAGACTTCTAGTATGTGAAGTATTTAAACATTTTCAATTTGTCAACAATAATGAAGTAGAAAAGGCGGATACGATAAGAAACTTCACTTTGTGAATAGTGACAATGACAAATGCATCAATTAAATACAAAAGATTTATGATTAAAAGGAAAGCGCATTTGAAAAATACATCCTGCTATAAATAAGATGCATTTACGAAAGTTTGGCTGTTATATGAGGTTGAAACTTCTCAGAAACTGTTAAATTATCTTTACGAACAATAGTTTTTTACAAATATCCTTGGTCATCAAGGTAATCCAAGAATACCGAAACAAATAAAAATACATTGTATGATAAATTGCGAAAACTTAGAGAACAAAAACGAAGAGAATTTACAGAAAATCTACGTGAAGTGATTATCCTATTTTTATCCAGGTAATATTGTGGTACTACTACTACTACTACGACTACTACTACTACTACTACTACTACTACTACTACTACTACTACTACTACTACTACTACTACTACTACTTATGTCTGTCTACGTAGGTAGTATGCAACACCATTCAGAAGTGGAATGTCTGACAAAAGAAGGTTGAGAAGATCGAATTGAAAAGAGCAGAAATGTAAACATACAGTAATTGTAATAACAATAGGAATGAAGTAACCATGAGGTTTGTAAGAGAAAACTGATGGATGATGTGCAAATGAAGTATTTAATGTATGATTGTCATATTTTACGCAGACATTGTGTAATTTTGAATTAACTAGTAAATTGGTCTTCCTCACCTGAGTGTTCGTTCGCTACAATGCGATAGAAACGCTTCTGTGAAAAAATTGTATAAGCTGTTAAGTTATTTGTTTCATGAATATGTTATAACCTTGAATGATTATTTTCAATACGGTGAAAAGTATTAGCGGCATTTTAATCAGTGGTCTTCATCTAGATATATTCTAGACATCTAAACAACGATTCAGGTGTATTTTGTTTCATATTCTTGAATAACTTTAGTATCCTTAGGTTGAAGGAAGTCGGCGGAAAACTCTATTACCATAGGAAACATCTGTTCAGGTACCTATTGTTGACGATTATCAACTAGCAAGAAATTTAGGTCCATATGGTTTTTAGTTAACTATTTTCAATCGTGTTACATCAAAACATAATGCATGTGATATCGAATCAATTAGACTGGTGGTTATACTGAGACTTGATCAGAAAATTTGGTCAGCTTTATGGACTAGACCAGAAACATGACATTGGTTACTAACAATTAATCAACTAACGTTTAATAACTCTCTAATAGACGTTATAGTAAATTCACAAGAAACCAACTGGTTTAACCGCTATGCTATTCATAAATCACAAACCATACACACATTATAAGTTACGTAACTACCAGAATCGGTTATTTTCGTCCTACTATTGTGCATTCTAATTTTTCGTTGGAAGTAGACTAATCATAACTAGTTAACAAACCCACTATCATAAGGTTACAAATATCATAGTTTTAACCGTTAATTTGAGAAAGAATGAGCAGATCGCTAAATAATGAGTTGAAAAGTACCATAGGATTAATCTTGAGGAGCTAAACACAGGGCCTTGGACAAATGAGCACTGACTGAAATTAGGACACAATAAATTCGGACAGCAACGTAAGGTGGAAAAGCCAAAATTATAACGATATCAGTGATTAAATGAGGCTGAACTCAATCATAATATTTCGAAAAAAGGAGTTTTAACAACGAATAGAAAATATCAGGATTAAAAATTAATATCTAAGCGAAAGACAATGAATAAAAACTCATTGGAAGTTAACTAGAATTCTCCAACTACTTAGTGTCAATAAGAAAAAAGGGAATTTTGTCTCGAATTACGAATAAATAGATGCGTCACAATTACGGTAAATAATATACTTGATCTTAAAATTAGCCTAGTTGGTTGCTATGATTCAACAGGATGCTTAAGCGGTGAAAACAAAGAGGAAAATTATTATTCGAATCTGAGAAAGATGACCGACAAAAACTGAAAGTGAATAGAATTCCCATAGCAATTTATGAAGAAGAGATCTTTACTTTTGCCAATATTCAACATTGTATTGTACTCGACGAGCTGAAAGGCTATCTAAAAGAAGATATGTCATACCTCACGATGTATAGAGGAGTAAAGCAGAGTAATCAATAAGGTATACATCTCTCAAGTTTATTTTCAAGTGTTCCACTATCGAAGAAACGAATATAGAATTACAACCGACACATAACACCTAAGAGACATGGAAATTTTCATATATTAAACATGTTGACAACCTGTGTCTAATGACAACAGCCACCAATGACGCCACAAACACACTGAACAGTCTTTAAAATTTACTTGAAGAATTCGGAATGAAGATATCATGGGGAAGAACAAGAATGATAATCATTAGTGCAAAGGGTGTGGACTTAGTAGTCTACTATGTTTGAAGGGATTACGAGTTTACCTAGTCTGCGAACGGAACTAAGACTCTGTGATCACAGACCAATGAGCCAGATATTATGATGCGTCCCAGTCCCGCTAACTAGAGAGAGAGAGAAGTCCATGTTCGAGACGGGGAAATTTATTCCGTAAGCAACCAGAAGCACGAGTAATCACCACCAGGTCTAGTAGGAAAACACCCATTTATATGTTGGTTTGTACACCCATTTTTTTTATTCATAATTCATAATTTCAAAAACTCCCATATTGTTAATTTAGATCAACATATATAAGCTAACAATATTGTTTTCGATAAGATCCTCATCAGGCTTTACTTTAATATACAGTAATGTATTTGTATGCATATACGAAATTATTAAACCAATCAAGGTAGTTTATAAGTCAATGATAACAATGAAAACGGTTACATAATAAGTGAAATGGGAAAAGTACAAATTAATGGTATGACAACAGGTGCATTAGTTTTGATAAGAATAATAAAGGCTCAAATCAATGTTACATAATCGGAAATAGGTCAATGATTAGAATAATATAGAAACTGAGGTAACATTATGAGATGACGTAATAAGAAATGTTCAGATAACTGGACCGTGAAACGTATAGTTGAGAGAAAATAAAGTGGTAGGAGGGTGTGAAGCAAAATAACAAACGAAGAGAAAGTTTGAAAAAAGAACAAATAAATTCACTTATTACTTAAGGCCAGGAGAGAGATAAGGGTGTTACAAATTTCTTCTGAACACAAAGACTTGGCTTGTTGGCTCGAATTCCTATAGCTTCTGCTATGTGTAAGAGACGAGGTCGAACACCATAAGGAAAACTAATGGGAATACGATAAATAACTTTGAACGACTTGTTTCTGTCCACTATATGACCTCTATCGATCAAGTGTGATAGAACAGAGACTATTGATTTTGTGTGCCAACAACTACAGAAAAAACAAATCAATATTGGAATTCCTGAGGTTAGTCTTGAAGAATTACTTTTGAAATGCACAATGAATGTTCATTTTGTCTGTAATAACACACATTATAGACAAATTGATGGTATAGCTATGGGTTCGCCTCTAGGTCCCATCCTTGCGGATTTTTTTCTGGCGAAACTAGAAAAGAACCTCTCAAAGAGGTTATCAATAAACTGGATTTCTACTGTCGTTACGTTGATGACACTTTCATCACTGCCGATCAGAACATTAGAAAAGAACAACTACTAGAACTATTTAATAACAAACATCCTGCAATTAAACTTACATGTGAAGAGGAAATAGATAACAAGCTAAATTTCCTGGACGTTTTGTTAAGTAGAAAATAAAATGGTTCTATCAGCAGAGGTGTGTATAGAAAAAGTTCTTCTCCAAGCCAATACACACATTTATTTGTTCTTTTTTCAAACTTTCTCTTCGTTTGTTATTTTGCTTCACACCCTCCTACCACTTTATTTTCTCTCAACTATACGTTTCACGGTCCAGTTATCTGAACATTTCTTATTACGTCATCTCATAATGTTACCTCAGTTTCTATATTATTCTAATCATTGACCTATTTCCGATTATGTAACATTGATTTGAGCCTTTATTATTCTTATCAAAACTAATGCACCTGTTGTCATACCATTAATTTGTACTTTTCCCATTTCACTTATTATGTAACCGTTTTCATTGTTATCATTGACTTATAAACTACCTTGATTGGTTTAATAATTTCGTATATGCATACAAATACATTACTGTATATTAAAGTAAAGCCTGATGAGGATCTTATCGAAAACTGGCGTGAACATCAAAAAAGCAAAGTATTCAACAATAAAATATTTTCAGAAGGGGTTTGTGGAGATTTTTAGAAATTTTCACAGATTGAAATCATGAGTCAGTTAAAGCTAGACCACCATTGAAAACCTGGAAGCACTGGACGGCCGTTTCGTCCTAGTATGGGACTCCTCAGCAGTGTGCATCCACGATCCCGCAAAAATAGTTATTTGACTTAACCGACCTCGAGTGTGTTATCCAAGCGAAATTCTCAATGGCCATGTCCATCAACTTGGTACTTCCATCTAAAACCTTACACCTAACTCCCATATTCCCCATTTCATCATTTCTTCATATTCAAGCAAGATTTCGAAATTATTTATGATAGAATACTAGCAATCTACGTATGTTGGGGTCGTCTAAATCACGTGTACTCGGCCAATTAGTCTGACAGTTTATTCAGGAATTATATATTGATATTAAAAGAGTATAATGACACAAAGTTGAGACAGGTGACGGATCCGATTATTACATATATGTGATGCATAATAGTATGTCTATTTAAACTCATTAGCCAGTCACGGGTTACTCTGATCGAACATACTAGTTTTTTTGTAATTTATAACTGATTTTCAACGCAGTCAGTCAGTTGACAATGTATTCTCTCAAAGACAAAATACCATTTAAATGTAGTTTTGTTCTCTGAGCTGGACTAAACAACCAGCTCAGAAAACAAAATTCAACCTAAATCATTCAGCTGAACTACAAATCCTCTACATCACCACAAAATATTATTGATATAAATAGTCAAATGAATTAGAAAATAGAACAAATAGACTTACGTTAGCTATAAATGACAATATATTTAACCCAGGTTTTATCATTACAAAAGAATCTTCATGATTTAAAATAAAAAGTGGATTTTTAATTGAAACAGGAGTAGATGATTCCCTATTTTCATTTCCAAACATATCGTGTTTACCATTAATACTGAATGATATACGTGATCGTTTTTTCGTTGGACAGAGTGAATGTTGTCTTAAAATTTGTACTGAACTATGGATATTTGGTTCTGAAAGAGAAAATAAATAAAGTAATACATATAAGGGTTTGAATCTTTCTGTTGTTGATAATAAGGACTGAACTTCATATTGCAATATATATTTACATCTTGAGATGATTACCTTGATATTGCCTTTTAGTTATAAATTTTTAGTAAATTTGGATTGTAGCTACTAGTGGAATTCAGCAAGTAATTCTCGCCTTATTCAAGACTCATCAGTTGAATATACCTGAATACCCGTGTTGGTATCCATATTGGGACTCAAACTCAGTACCTTTTAGTTCAAACGCCAATATGTTATTCATTGACCTATTTGAGTTCATAAAACCATTAAGTTGTTTAATGAGTTTTAAGTCAGATGTAAGGATTCAGGTCTCCCTGTTATTGATATTAACGATAAGTTTGAATAGGTTCAGATGTGCATTCTGGATCCCATTCCTAACAACATTATAGCATCACTTTCGTAAAGCATAGATTTTGTAAGGAAGTAATGATCAAACGTAACAAAGTTTTTTTTTTTTAAAAAAAAACAGGTTTCTGATGAATTTACAAGCGTAGAGATTCACAAGTTAGTTTATAAGATAAAATGGAAGAGCTAAGCATAGATATGATAAGAATGTTTTATAGCATTGTTTGATTTTCATGAGCTCATTGTTCATTACATACATGTATAATTTAATTTACTGATTGATCATTCATACATTATAATGATAAGTCAATTTAGAACGAGCTGGTGTGCGAACACCTATGCTCCTCCATGAAGGCTAACAGGCGTTAGTAAATAAGTCAAGATAGAACATACAAGATTTCAAATAAATGAAGTATACATGTTTTATGAAATTATGGTTTTGTAAATGAATGACAAATTTCAAAGCATATAGCACCTTGATAAATAGTTAATAGTAGAGTTAAGTTGGAAAGAAAACAAAGACATATGAATTAGTCAGATGGTTATATATTAGTAATCAAACTATGAAATTTTTTCAAGTATTTCTTTAATTCATTCAAACTAAACTTTATACACAAAGTTTATTATTACGAAGAGAGATATTAGTCGGAACGAATGAATTCATTCATTGTATTTATTTTAAACTTCTCTAAATAACTCCATTTCTATGTCGGTTAAAATGAGACAAATACATAAACATGTTATAATTTAGAAGATAATTTGTGAACAATCTGTAATTTTATATTCATTTAATTGTAAATCTTGATTTGACTAGTCAACTGTTATCATATCTTTTACTGTCTTGAAATTATTGTAAATTAATTACAAGCCTGATTTCCAACTTTCCTAAATGAATTCTCCGTACCCACTAACCCAGTTTAAGCGCCAGACATTCGCTTCTAATCCTCTAAATTTCGTAAACAACACCACAGTTATGAGAAGGCAGTGAATAGAACTTAACTGGCAATGATCATATACGTGTGGCTATATGAAAGCAGTTCGAGATGAAGAGTGAACTCTCCTCATTCTTGGCCATACCAGAGCATTTAGGGGCTTTATTCATACTGGTAAACGTTGTAGTTTACTACTAATCGTGCTTTGTGATACTTTAATTCATTTACATGATTGTGTTTTTGGATTAGGATAAACAATAGTTACATTGGTTGTATTATTCTTTTGTTCTGATTAGCATTTAGGAATATGGATTTCGTGTGAACCAACAAGTGTTAGCATATCAGATAACTTATTCGAGACATTGATATTTTTGGTTCAATCATAGAGGACTAAGGTCACACTAATATTATGCACCAAAATGTCTGAATCAAATAAGATATATTCTATTAGATCAACAAAGAATAGGGAACAATTATCAATGTTTAATCGTGTGAATTGAATGACTAATTTTTAGTTTATCAATTCAAAAGTAAATATTTGATTGAAGACATTGATGAAAACGAATAAGAAACTTTCACACAACTGGAGAAAGATTGCATACTCATTAACTAAACAGGTTAAATGAAATATTGTTAGAATCTGACACTAAGGATGTAAATACCCGATTATTTACGGTATAAAAATAGTTTTAGAATTAACACAACAACAACAAAAACACAACAATAATGGATAAGTCATTAGATTTGATGAATACAGACCGAGATTCTTAAATAACTATGACTTAATGATGCAAACAGTTGGCCTATGAGGTTTAACAATAGTAGTCCTATAAATCAAAAAGAAAGAAAAAACATTGAGTGATTGTATGTAACTAATAATGTCAACTAGTTAAAAGATAAATTACAGTAAACGAATAAAAGTAACTTTTAAGTTATACATAATGAATATTCTCTATCTAATAATAAAGGCGGCCTATTTGAATACCTGGGCTACCTGTTCCTGCCATCTAGATATTTCAACAAGTTATCTGTTTTTTTGTTTGTCTTAACACATCATTATGCCTATTAGTCTCATAACGCATCCAGGCGCGTTCATGAAACGTTTACGACCTTTCGTTTTACAAGTTACAAAAAAAGCCCAATCAGAGACGTCATGATTGCTGGAAATATGTATTGAAAAGAATGAATATTATTCAAATATCGATTCCTGTAATGTTAATATCTAACTGGCGACCACTTAATACTGATCGTCAAGATCGATCAAGAAATAGGAAATGAAAACTTGTTAAAATAATTTGTGCTGAGAATTCTATATTGTACCAAAAATATAATATTGAATAAAGTCACTAATAGTAATATTATACATAGTTTTACAAGAATATCTATTTTAACAGATGATAATTGATAAATATACGCGAAAAATATTGTTGAGGATCTCATATATTCTAGCAATCATACGATTAATATCAGTTAGCTATTAAGAGATTATTCGAACTTATTCTTTGCTGAAATCATTTGTTTTTTTTTTAAGAAATGGATTATGGTATATCTAAAATTTGAAGAATACGATCCATGAATTAATTTCTATGTGAAACTAAAAAGAATTGGGAGCTGGAATGGTAAAACAGCGAAACTCTATATGGACTTCATAATTATGATTACACGGAATGATGTATGAAATTCCAATGGAAAATAGTTATCATATGAGTGTAACTCGTGATATTGTTCCGCTGTTGACTAAATTAGCTTAATTTAATATTTTCCTTAAAGAAACTCTCTTCTAATGAGGGATTTTCAGGCCGAACAGCCTAAAATTACAAATGATATTCAAAGATCGAACAGTATTCTAGTTTCATCAGAATCATAAACCAATCGAGGTTAGAGAACCATTAAAAACCTGAAAGTATTGTACGACCGTTTCTTCCTAGTATGAGACTCCTCAGCAGCTCGCACGTGGTTCTCAGACTTGACTAAGACAATCTGTAATTTTGCAATGAAATACATTCAGTTATCCCTACATATATTCTAGTTCACAACCATCATCAAAAAAGTACAGGTATTCATAGTTGTCTACGCAAGGCACTCCGGATCCGTTGGCCAGACAGCATCAGCAATAACCTACTATAGCAGATAACAAAACAACTTCCAGTTGAAGTGGAAATTGGGAAAAGACACTAGAAGTGGATAGGTCAGATTTTACGAAAACCAACAAACTGTATCACAAGGTAAGCCCTACCTTGGAATCGTCAAGGCAAAAAGAAAACAGGTAGACCAAAAAACAACACTGCATCAAGAATTGGAAGCAGACACCGAAAGAATGAAAAGCTATGTTTGTCATGTAAGTATAAGTTAATACATCAGAATTTGTTTATTTGCTTCCAATAAGTCATACATTTAAATGATGAAGATACACTGCGGAAAATTTATATTTTCATAAGATAAACGTGTAGCAAAACAAATGTATTCACTTTAATCAAGTTCTGATTAGACCACCATAAATTATGCTATAGTTATTATATATTTCATGTTTTTCCTTTTACATTTTCGAAAGTCATTATTAAAATAGTATAAATGTAAGCTTATAATGCCTTCATAATTTTTATGCTTACCGATTAAACCATCAGAAGGAATCCGTGTAATTCTGCCATTCTGTATTATATGTGGGGTAGAAATAGGAGTATTATTATTATGCTCATCACTCATAACGCCTATAGTATCTTGAGATTTCCATGCTGGTCTACTGGCCAATGATGCAGCAACGTTTAACAATGAACCTAAACGTGACTGACTATTCATTTTACTAATTCTCAATTGATTTCCTTTAAGTGCTAAATTTTTATTCAGATATTCTTTAGAACTATCTGGTATACTGGAATAACTTCGACGAGTCGAGACAGTTATTTCGGTTGTTGGTAAATGGTACTTATTGTATTGTCTTGAATTTTTTTCAGATGAAGTAGAGAATTGACCATGTGAGATAACTTTATGACTGCCAGTGCTAATATTATTACTACTATTACGATTATTATTATCACTACCAATAATTATCGGGTTATTCACATTACTACCTGCTAAGCTTTTGACAACAGAGATACTAGGAGCAGTAGTCAAATTGATCAAATGTAGTTGGCTATCTAACTGTGGTATCAATAATTGATTAGTTTTATCCATTACATGATAAGGCAGAAATTCATTTGGATTCAACAATGTTTGCCAGTCAATGTACGTAGGTTCTGATCCACTAATGTGTACTCTGTAGTCATAGAAAAAATTGTACAGTAATATAAGTTGTCTATATATAAAGTGTACAACTTTATAATGCATAAACAATTTATGATATAGTGAATAACTGAGAAACTGATTGAAAACTCTTGGGATATGATTAATTTGAACGGAGTTTACACAAAAAGGAAAGAGAAACCAATGAACACTTTTGAAATGATGAACATTTGGAGATCAGATGGCAGCTTTAAGTAGTGTTGTGTTATTTGAGAAAGATGACTGAATTCCTGAACTTCGATTGTCGTTCTGGACAAAATTATCAGTACCTACTTCACATTTATCAACTTGAAGTTAGTCGAAGTAATGGACATATTGTTAATACACCCAATAACCTGTGGTTTATCATTAGAGATTAAGAATTAAATAGCATATGTCATATTACTCGTTGCTACTTATGTTTAGTTGGAACTACATTTTTTGTTCTGTACTTCAATTATTTTCAGTACGACTTATAAACCAATAAATTTTACAGATATTTTTCCAGACTCAATTAAAGGCTTCTTTAAGAATAAAATCCATCGTCGTCATTTTGAAGATATGTAATTTACATTCACCTCTGTTGCGTCTTTTTTTGATGGTTCAAGTATTAAAAATATGGTTAGTTATGCTTAATACGAATGTCAAAACGCTTTACAAGTATTCATTTGTAAAATACGATTACACAGGAGATTTAAGTACTGAGGTATTTGTATCAAGATTATTTTTGTAAAAATGAAGTACTCCTATAAATATACAAGAACATCTCATTTCCACATCGAGATGTTTGCCTACCAACCAAATATTTTACCGAGCATTAAATTTTTCTGTCCTACTTTATAGGTGTATAGCATGGTCGCTAAGACTAGGAAGACATAGGTTACTAGTATTCGATCATAAGCGTCATAGAAATATCGCTCGTGTATTTTGGGACCACTGAGTGAGCAATGCTGGGGTAAGATGAATATTACACGGTAAAGATTGGCGAATCATTTAGTGAAGTAGTGAACCTTGATCAAATGACGTGGTTGAGACATGTACTACCCATACTCAAACATCGTATATTAAGACGATGATGTGGCAACATAAGAACAGTATAAGCCTTGGCGAAATAGAGAAACTAAAGCAAATTATAGCACTAAGTTTTCAGCTGTATTTACTCTCTGAATGTTAAAGATATCATAACACTGTTAACACGAAAATATGTTGAGTCAAACTTCAACTTAAGATATAATGCTCAATATCCACAAGCTCTACACACAACAAATAGATTCAAATAACATCTTTGTTATAAAGCAGTTAGCATACTACTATTCCAGCGTTCAAATGAATTATCTCTTCATTCAATTTACCTTTTCCCAATAAGCTAATACAAATATCTCTGCAGCAGATGTAAATTATGAATAGACAGGGAGCAAATTAAACAGGACTTATCGGTTAATACGATGATTTAAACATTTTCAAAGAATACAGATCATTGGAATGGTGAATAGTTAGAGATTATGAGGAAAATGGACTGTAACCTAAGCATTTCTTAGGTAAACGTTTAATAGCTGCTTCACATAGTCAAAAATAAACAACATTTTATGAATTGAACTAATTAAAGCTCAGCTGTTCTAGTGATGCCTAATGAATGGTTTGAAAAAGTCCAGTATGTGCATATATTCTATTCATACAGACTATTTTTCACATCTATAGAACAGTACAGAGTGGACTGGTGAGCAGTACATTTGTCCCTTGATCGCCAGATAGACATCTGAACTATGCTACATATGACACGAATTAGCAAAGATTAACGCAGCTTTCTGAATCCGTGTCGAAATTTCGATAAACACCAACTCTTAGAAATAGTAAGATGTGTTTCATAAGTGATTTCAGAAAAAAAAGGAAAAATAGTTATTCTAAAGGAAAAAAACTAAACATAATATAACATACGATGCTTTAAATGTTCTGTCTGAATTAGACTTTAATTGAATAAAAATCAATTGATAACCACAATTACAAACACCTTCCAATTCAACAGATTTTAAACGAAACAATGGTGACATTTGATAAGGATCCAAAACAATACATTGATGATAGGCTAATAAAGAATTACGAAATTCAACAGCTTCTTTCCACCAATAATTTGGATTAATTGAATCATTAAATGATGGTATCGATAAAATTTGTGTAAAATTTATTGTTTGATACCAAAATTGAATTTTATTGTAAACATGAATAGCAGCTGTACGTAATACAGAGTGTTTTGTACCAGCTAAGATGAAACAAATTTGAATGTATCTACATAAATTAGGAAAATCATTAAACTGAAAATGAATATACATTCATTTTAGAAAATGTTAATAATGAAATATTTTTTCTAGTTAAACTATTTAATTAGTCTACTACAACCATCATCAACAAAGTACAAGTACTTATAAACAGTTGTTTACGCAAGATACTCAATGTCCGTTGGTCAAAAACGATCAGTAACAGCCTACTATGGGAGAGAACAAACCCGTTTAGATGAAGCGAAAATTAGGAAAAAACTGTGGATGTGAATAGGAAATACATTACGGAAATCACCAAACGGCATCACGAAGCATGAGCTAACTTGGAATCTTGAAAGGAAACGGAAAAGAGGAAGGGCAAAGAACACACTATGTCGAGAATCTGAAGCAGATATGAAAAGGATGAATAATAAGTGGAAAGGATTTCCCAGGACAGAGTTCGATGGAGAATGCTGGTGGGCGGTCTATTCCTCTCCACGAGGGGTAACAGACGTAAGTATATAATTAGTACTTATTCTACAAAACACTAATACAATGTTGTGTAGTGTTTAAGAAAGTGGCAATGACTGGCACTAATTCAATAAGTCATAAATTAATATGACTAATTTCGTTTCCCAGTTTTATACTGTGTAAAAAAAGAATGCTTTTGGACTATAATCATTTATTACTATTTGTAACATATTTTATATCAAATTATTTTTTGTTTTAAACACATACGCTGTATTTAAGGGAGAAAGACGAATATAAAATTCGATGAACATGGAAACATTAATATGTATTAAATTAACTTATTTACTGGGTTACTTGGGTATGAACCACACTCAAAGTGTGAAAACTAATGATACTATCCAGTTGTCCAAATTAAAGCAGGTGTAGCTGGATTTGAGCCCAGGACTTAGTCGTCGAAAATTGAGCACCTTAACTCATAAACCAATGCTCAAGGCTGATAGATTGAGAGAGTTAAGTAATAGTATGTGCCTGTGCAAAAGCCAGGCATCGCATATACTGTCTCAAAGTTAAATGATAAGCGACAAAATATGAACGAGGCTTGTTACTGGATGGATTTAATTATCCACTTATTCAACCAACATGCCGTTATCTCGTTCAGAGGGGATAAATGTATAAATAATAATGATTTGTGTACATTATCATTCAGTTCTGACAATTAAAGCTTCCTAGCAATTTCTTAGTCTTTCCACTCTTATTGCTTTGTAGGTAAACGTATGGGAAGCGTGAGTTTTTTGTAACCGAATGAAACGTGACATAATGTGACAATAACATAGAGCTGAATATATAAAACCCAACGTTAGTAACCGAAGTAAAAAAAATTAGATTAGTGGCGAAAAACCCTATTATAACACCGTATATAAGAGCTGTTAAATCACTGTTTGATTTTTGATATGTAATTTTCGACCTTATTGTACAACAGAAATAGATCAATATAGGAAACAGATTGAACACATTTTTTTCTAACCAAACGATAAACATGAACGCAGTTTATATCATTATTAGTAAGAGTTTGAAATATCACAATGTAGATATTCGGGACTGAATTTTGACCAATCTTTTTGTTGGTATATGTGCATCTTCTGGGTTGAATGGCCTGATATAGCCGTTTTGACATAAATCCCCTTTCACAATAGACGGATTGTAGCTAACATTACTAGGTGTACTAATACGGATATCAATACTGCGATTTGACAGGTACATCCAGCCGACGAGTCCCAAAAAGAACGAAACGCGAGTCGTGGGTTTCACTACCAGAAATAATCTTTCCGTTCTAAGAAAACACAAGCACAATTATTGAATATATGATAATGATTTAGGTACACAAAAGGAAAAAGAACAAACTTCACGTGTTCACCTACTTTCGAGCAATTTCATAATCATCTTTAGTTTCAAAATGCTTCTTTACACATAAGGAATGGTAGCACCATGCCAAGCATATGCGTGTACTTGTTACTAAACCAATCCACGAAGATTCATCATAATGATTTATTAGTGACTCATATAACCATGAAGCTGATTCATGAGCTCCTTGTGAACTAAATGATCATTAAAAATTTAGAAAATAAAAAATAAGATTAGATGCTGGCTAAGTGGTCTAGAGGTGAAGCGCTCGCTGCAAGACTAAAAGTGTTGGGTTTCATCGCCGGTAGGGTCATGGATGAGCATTATCGAAGAGTCCAATACTCGGACGGAACAACACATCTAGTGATTATCTGCTTTCAATGGTTGTCTAATAAAGATTAGTCTATGATGTAAGCTATGATAATACGACCGTAGTAGGCAGCAAAAGAACCCTACAAAATAAAACTTCCTGAGGAAAAAAAACTTACTAAGCACCTAGATGCCAAAATAAAGGCAAACAATAGCGTTTAATTGTGACTTACATGACCCTAGAAGATCGACAAAGTAATCTGTTCCAATCAAAAATATGGAAGCGTTAAAACTAAGGGGTGATATTTGTGGTTTTCCAACCGAGGCGCAATCTAAAGCTTAAAGGAGAAAGTTTAATTAGGAACAATATGATTTCTAGGAGGGAGAAAAAGGGGTTATTTATTTATTTTAACATATAGATATTGGTAAAAGGAGGCACCAAATACATATGCGCCACACAAATCTCATCTGATTTGTGTGAGGGCTATGATACTGCCCGGGTGCCGAAACCGTAGCAGGTAGTTTTCTTAGGAAGCCACACCCGGAACCTTCGACCTGAGGGTCTGATCCACAAGGCAATGGAGCAACGTAAGGAGATGCAGTCCTATGGTAGCCGGTGACCAACAATTGGTTCATACACCATTTGTTCCTTCAGGATACTGGAGCCCATGTGCACCATTGGTTTGGAATCAGGGTTTTCCAACTCCCCCAGGTGGATTTTTTTATAACCAACCCGGTTAAAGCGCCGGGTATTCGCTTTTCGTCCTCTCAATTTCGTAAACAACACCCCCGCCACGAGAAGGCAGTGTGTAGGACTTCCCTAGCAGAGGGTATATACGCGTGGCCATGTGAGAGCATTTCGAGAGGGAGAGCTTATTCTCGACACTCTCGGCCATACCAGGGCATATGGGGGCAACGCGACACTCGACGGGGATGAGATTAGAACCTACGCGAGAAAACCCGAATGGATTAGCTGTCCATCGCCTTAACCACTTGGCCACATACATTATGTAACCATATATATGAACTTACAATAAGAAATCCGCCAAATCATAAACAATTTCATATGCACGTTTAGGACAATGTATTAATTTTAAAAAACCAATTAATGTTTGTCCAATTGATGTAAAAATTTGTGAATAAATTAATGATGATGTAAATAATGGAATTAAATGATTATGAGCAAATAATATAGAATGATCTAATTGTATTTGTTCTATATTAATTTGATCTATTTCTAATTTTAATTGATTTCCATTATCATTTTGTTGTTGAATAGAATCTTTAATTATTGATTGTTGATTATTAATTAAACTATCAGTAATTATTTTATTGAATAATGAATATTTTTCACGATGAATAGATAAATTTGATTTGATACACCATAAACCAATGAATTGTCCAATTTGTTTTATATAATTAAATACAATTAACCATAATTCAATAGAATAATTTTCTGAACAAAATACATCTTTATCATTATTGATTTTATTGAATGAAAATTTATGGATTATTGATGAATTTTCTGTTGATGAACTAGTAACATTATTGATAGGTGATAAATGAGAAGTATTACGCAACAGTGGATATTCATAACAACGAAAATGTGTAAAAATTTTATCAACTAAATGACTCATATACCAAATAGTAACATTTGAATCTTTGTTAGCATCGATAAATACACTTTGTGTTGTTATGGTCGGTGATGAAGATGATGATGATGACGACGACGACAACTGCCTATTAAATGATAACTTTGAAAGGCGTGTAAAATTAATATTCTCTAAAATATTATTGCATGAAAAAGCTGTATCCAATAATTCAATAATTGATTTATTAACATCATCCATTGAACGATCTGAATCTAGTCGGATATTTGTCAGTGTATTTAAACAAATACACAGAATCCAAACAGCGCGAAATAAATTATCCATTTGAATCTACTTTTCAAAAGTAAACGGATTTTTTTACAAAAATCGGGAAAAATAAAGTAATAAAACGATTTATTAACATGATTGGTGTTTTACTAAGTAATTTTTTGACTAAGATTAATCATATCAAACAAACAGTGAGAAAAAATAAGTTGGCTGAAGATACAGTTATTATACAGGTGATTTTCTTGATATACTAATAACACTAGTGAGATAGATATTAGCGACAAGTGACAAATCAAACACTATTCGACAGTTATCAAGAAATCAATATGTTAGTTAGTTGGAAGTAGTCAGGAGAAAACCCTAAACCTATGTTTCGTGATAGATGACACTCGTCAGCGAAATGTACATGCGATCTTGAGAGAACTGATATTCCCTGAAGGATTAGGACCCGTGTTCTGTAGCCTCACAGTTCGAGACGTTACCACTAAGCTATCTGGTGGGTGACTTGGCAACTCGATCAACATCATACGCTCAGCACTAAGGAATTAAACAAACATGGCATTGGTTACTACTTAGTTATCAGCCAATCACAAAAATGAAGAGGTTAGTATTATTTTATAATGTTGCTTAAACTTTGGCTGAGCGTTTTGCCATTGTATTAAGTGAAAATAACTAGTAAGAGAAAATTGAGCATTGGAGAGAGAATAGATTGGATTTAGAGCAGAAAATAAACATTTCCATGGCAGTTATATTCGTTTATTACATGCCTTCTCCTTTTTTGTTTAATAGAAACTGAATATCACATGTACACCGATTTGTCTGTCGCATTTTTCTTTGATCTTATTTCAACTATATTGAATACATAATATATCTAAGTGACCCTTTAATAATAGAGCGAAATAATCAGAAGACCTACAACTTAAACATATTTGCAGATATCCATTTGTTAAAGTTTTTGAATTTTTATGGATAAGAAATTTAGTATCGTGCCAGATATGTACATCAATGCAACTCGACTTATGTATAAACTAACAAACGTTGTGTGCTACACTTTATACTTAATCAGTTTAGCTATGCAAAAAAGATCATAACTGAATAGGAAACTTTCTTGCCAAGGCCCGAACACTCATGCTTGCAAATGAAGCATATGTATACAAATATATAAATAGTTAGACTTATCTGAACAGGGATGTGTAGGTAGCGCCCATGTGTAGATGAATAACTCACAACGGTCCGTACTCACTTGACTTTTAAATACTACGTAGTCTTGAAAAAGGATATGAGATGTCAGGTCTTGGCTGATATATATATATATATATATATATATATATATATATATCGAAAATCATTATATCGTTAGAATAAGAATTTACTTACATCTAATATGTTTATTTCAGTCAATGTAGAACAAATGGTATGATAAGCGAATGCAGGAAATTCATTTAATCGGTCACATATGCATAATATTGATGCTTGTCTGGATAAAAGGTAATTTTTCAATTCGAATAATGTAGCGTTACGATTTTTTAAACGACTAGATTGTTTTATTTCTGTATTGGTTACATCTAAAGAATAATCACACACATAATGTGATACTTCATCCGATGATGATAATTGTGTTAATCGATCTAACCATTGAGGACGTTTAGATCCTGAATAGAATGATAGATGCAGACAGAAATTCATGAGATTGTGAAAATCAACAAAAAGGATTTGATACTTTTAAAATTGTTTGATCTCCAAGTGAACTGGGGTAATCTGCGACGCGTTCGATGGTCACTTAGTGTGTTGTGCCGAGCACTGGTAGTGATTTTTCCAGTTCATTTAGTGGATCAGTACTACATACTGAAGTGTAGTTTTTACTAAGAATTTCGTTTTAAGCAGCTGGATTTACAGTTGGTCAGTATATAACGCGATGGAGTTTGAAGTGAAGAGTATTGGGTTCAAGTCCCGGAGTGAACACCAACTCTGGGATGCAGACACATCCAGCTGACGAGTCCAAAACAAGGCGAAAATCACATCCTGGATTCCACTGTTATCCACCATCCATCTCTGCCCAAAAATGCTTGTGATTTACTGGCACTATCGAAACGGTCCATACAGAATGCACATATTCCGAAAAAGACTGATCAATTGCAGTCCTGAACATCAATAGGAGGTATTAAACAACTAATATATATGTGAATTAAGACTAAATACCTAATGTATGGATCGAGTGCCCAGTTTAACATTATTGTATTTCGTATTGAAGATAAATCAGTTTTAGTTCATTTATTACATTATTTTGTCTCTTGAGATTCATCTTAATCATGAACAACGTAGATACAAGTTAAGATTACAAATTGTTTGACTTTTCAGCAATTCGTACTGCTTACATTTGAACAATAGATTGAAACAGATCATTTATTTCTTGTTGTTCGAATTCTATGTATTTGTTTAAATAAAATGTTAACAGATCTATCATTAAACATCACAATACTGTTTTAATATCTGTTCAACAGATAAACATATCAACCTATTAAAAAAAAACACCAGAAAACTATTGAAAATTTAAACAAAAAATTGCTTACCTAGTTGTGTTGACGCTTGAATACATTTAGAAAGTAATTCGGTTGCTTCACGATACTCATGTAAAGCATGTTCATGTCCACCAAGAAACAAATACATATGCGCTAATTCTTCCTGTGTAATTGTTAAAGAATATAAAATATAAATAGGTATGCATCAAAACATAAATTGATATTAATTCAATAATTAACGCAAATTACGTGTATACGGTAAACACTATCACTTCCAAGTAAAGTTATGAATCCAAGATAGAATTTTATCAGATATTGGAAAATGAGCATACTTAATTTAAACACGATGACAAAATAGATATCTGTGGGTGGGAGAAATAACTCAAAACAATTTTTAGTAACAGTATTAATAATCTATGGAAAAAGTAGAAGAAACATTTCAATTGAACTAGTCATTTTTAGTTAATCCAGGTTACTACTAATAAATAATAACAAGGATAAATGGTAAATACAAGAAGCATTTACTTATTAGAATAATTCCTATTTATTTATACAGAAATTAATTCAACTTTAACATTAGTATAGTAATAGAAAATAACAATAACAACTGTGTAAAATAAAAATACAAATGAGGAGATACGTAGAAACATTAGGTAAAACAATACGATACTGATGAGTTTAAGTCAACTAATCAGATTGAAGATAACGGTTTTTGAAATTCGACACTAAATTTAAAACACAATTACGAATGAGCTTATTACTCAAATCAATGGTGTTTGACTATATTTCGTATGTTGACTGATTTTGAAGGGGATGTGATTGTATTGATAATTGATGGAACCATTATCCGTAAAAAAGGTGTAATAGAGGTAGAAAAGTAAAAGCGGATTGAGCAGGTAGTATTTTGATAAGCTATTATTACCCAATTAAAATGCAGGTGATAACAATGAAGTATCGCCCATAAAAAATCAGAAATAATAAAATATACATAGAGAATTTCCACAAGATTAGTGAATTTATTCAGCTTAAGTTTAAGTTCATTAGGATCGAATTCATAGTAAGAACGATATAGGAATTCGTCCATATGACTTCATAGCATTCTTCCTATAGAGCCTTTAGACAACCAAAACATTTCTACAAATCTGATAGTCCATGTTCTTCATTGTTTCAAGCCGGATATAACTTCTAGTAATGGATGTGAGAATTAACGTCACTCTATTTGAAGCATACTCAAAATGACGTTTCTGCAACGTCCTATACCATATTTCGAAAACCAGTTAATTAAATTAAAGAAATTACCACTTGCCCAATTTACTTTTACATTTCTACCTCTATTATACCTTTTTTACGGATAATGGTTCCATCAATTATCAATACAATCACATCCCCTTCAAAATCAGTCAACATACGAAATATAGACAAACACCATTGATTTGAGTAATAAGCTATTCGTAATTGTGTTTTACATTTCGTGCCGAATTTCAAAAGCCGTTATCTTCAATCTGATTAGTTGACTTAAACTCATCATCATAGTATAATTTCACAATAATCGTTATTACCTTTCTATCTAAATACTCAAAATAATCCCATGTAAGGGTTGAACATGAATCGGTCAGCATTTGTAAATGTATATCATAATCAGCAATAATTGACATACAAGCCGATATGATAGATTTACGAACAAGATAAGTTAACTGATTCCATGATTCATTGAATAGTTTTTTCTTCAGCTGAATTAGGTGCTGGTACTTCTAGAAATTGTCTTTAAAAGATAGAAAAACTGTATACATGGATTATATCATATTAATATGTGTTTGCTTTGACAAACTGATTATCCAAGCAAGCAATCAAGTAAAAACAAGCTTACGTGAGATGAAGAATTTAAAAAATAGTCAGATTCTTTGGGTTGAGAATAGCAATAAATCCGGTTTACAAAAGTGATTCGAAGCAAAATGGTTAATGAAGAAAGCACCAAACAAACAAGGTGCCCAGTCAATCGAATACAGCTGAGCAGTATCTTTAAAATTTATATGTGGATTGGATTCAAATAATGCTGATCTCTGGATATCTATTTTACGTTTCATTATGTCTATATACACAAGTTCTCAATGACTGATTTACTAAATTTCAAGAAAGTGAACAATACGTATATCATGCGATGTTGGCAAGGAAAACCTTATGACAATTCAGGTGAAAGATCTAATTAAGTTCTCAATATATACTTGTCTCGAATTGGAGAAACTGGAATGTTGATTTATACACTTATTTAGTCAAATAATTTGAAGTGATGTTACTGATTACTTCACCGTACATGAGATAGTAGCAACAGATAAGGTAGACCGATAATCAAGGAAATATGGGAATAAGCACGAATATTTTAGTATATTTGAACTATTATTTTATTTTATTTATTTATTTAAACACATGAATATTGATACAAGGAGGCACCAAAGAGATATGCACCACATAAGTCATTCAATTTGTGTGAGGGCTGGGATACTGTCTGGGTGCCCAAACCGAAGCAAGTGGGTTTCTTACGGGACCACTTTCCGAGCCTTTGAACTAAAGGTCTAATCCACAAGGCAGTGGAGCGACGTTAGAAGATGCATTCCCATGGTAGCCGGTGACATACAATAGGTTCATACGCCTTTTTTTCCATCAGAATCCTGGAGCCCATCCACTCCATTGGTCTGAAATAAGTGTTTTCCAACTCCCCCAGGTGTATCCATCGTACCCACCGATCAGTTCAGGCGCCAGACATTCTGTTGTTGTCCTCTCAATTTCGTAAACAACACTGCTGTTGCGAGTAGGTAGTGAGTGGGACTTCCTTGGCAGTAGTTGAATGCATGTAGCCATGTGAGAGCATTTGGAGATGGAGAGCAGACTCTCACACTCTCGGTCGTATCAGGGCATTTGGGGGCAGTATATTTGAACTGTGACTGGTAGTAAAGCCCATGATAAGTGTTTTGTCATATACCAAAAAGGCAATTTCCAGACGATTCGCTGAGGATACATGTATGGCAACAGAAGTTGATCGGCCGGTATTAAAACTTAGCAACATTTCTGAACTATTTCTATTCAATACAACAAAATTCCGTGTCTTTTTTGAGACTACGCAACCAGCATATTACTTTTATCTATCGTTACACACGAAATGCTACAGAACTATACAATTACCAGGCTTTTGCACATTTCCACAGTCCTATAACACGACAGCAAATAGAATACACATTTGACCAATATAATCCAAGATGAGATAATACACACAATATAGACTAAAGTATAATCTTACGGTTTCAGAATCTTGGACCGGTAAATCGAATAATATCATTATACCTATAAGCGTTCTGATATTGCAGGTGTTAACTGATAGAATCAACGTTCGAAAAATAGTATGTGTTCACCTGACACCTGACAGCCCACACACAAATGATGACATCAAGAGGAATAATCACAGGTAACAGTATAACTGATGAGTTTTAGAAAAAAACAGAACACCCAATACTTTAATTTCAAATATTTGTTCCTTCGAAATTAACATATTGAGTAATTCGATATAACACACTAAACAAAGTGAAAAACATCAATCAGAAGACTTACCGGTCGCCTGTACGAACATTAAAATCACTTCTAATTTTGTCAAGTACATTTGATTTTTGTAGAATTTTTGGTGTGTTATACTGTGGATCCGAATTAACCATAATAATAAGCCAGTCAAATACATTTCTGGCACGTAAATGGCCTAACCAACTACCGATAGCATTCCGTCCACCATGTGATGTATAATGAGAAACATCCTAAAATATTCAATGAAAAATCAAAAAACATCGAAGTTCTAGTTAATCGTTGAACATTTATTAACAAAAACAGCGTATGATAACAGTATTAAAAATAATGACATATTTGAAGTTCGAAGCATATATTGTCCTTTCGATAACATACATCCACATCAATGTGTTGGTAGTTCACTTTTTAGAATCCAAATCTGGAGTTTTGAACGTGAATAGTTCAGAGTATTCATATTTCCTGATCCATCTGTAGAATTCTACCATATAAATAAACCACAGAAATCTTCGATTGAGAAAAAGAATCATTAAAAAATGGAAGGGAATAGATTATGGATAGCAGAATATTAAAAAGTAAAATAGTCAGCAGTCAGAATGCATTATAGCAGGAGAGTTCCACTTATCCTTAGTCATACATCAAATAATTTACAGTTGACTGAATAGTGAACAATATCGTGTATGTTAAATTGTTCTTGTTGTTTATCGAATTGCATTGATTGAATTGCAATGTAATCACTAGTCCAAGGTTTACTGTTGACTACCGCCAATTGCCATCAACTAATTTATTCCATCATTAGTTTTACTACTGTCTAGTAATAATGGGTCAGAAAATATATACTTCCATACATACTGTTCCAATTACAGTTAATTACTTCATAGAATGATACAACTTAATCATATAACTATGAGGGATTTACTTTCTAACCCCACTGTAAATGATAATACATCACGAGATAAACACTAACTGAACATTCGCAACATATAATCGGTAATGTACAACACATGAAATTCAGCTGGAATATGTACAAATAACCAAGGCCAAAAGTTAAAAAATGGTTTTTGAATCTTAATAGAAAGCTTGTTAGTAATCACTAATACAGTCCGGAGATTCCGTAAGATTTTGTTGTCCCTCATTAAACCAACAAGACGATAAAGTTTTTTTTCGAACAAAACATTTTCATTTGTAATGGTTATTCGAATCTTCCCACTGATGTTAAAGACTACAACTGGTTAGTCTCTTTTGACATATGTGCACTCAGTGAGGATTGCCTCGATATTACCATTAGGTCACCAACACTTTAGATGTGTGATTAGTTAACTGAGCCTACTAAAACTAGTAAGAAAGGTTTATATACAACTTTAGTGGGATAACTACGTGATTTAGCTGATTAAAATCTCTCTTTACACTTTAAAGTATATTACATTCTTAGGAACTAAGATGTACAAAAGAGAGTAATACTTGAGTTAAAAATCATATATTTACCTTTGAACTTATTATTCACTCTTCTCTGTACAAATAAAATAGGAATTTTAAGTTAATGAACCGGAATACTTTACACAATGTATCATTATGTAAATACTATCCATTCAATTAACCAAACGGTCATATGATTTGATATCTAATTAGACGTAGAGCGCATTCACATTTTATCAACCCCATACGTCAACAAATATTCATCCTGCTACCGAAAATGTATCTTCAGGTACACTTAAAATGTAGTTAAACATGATCAACTAAACACATTAAAAGATTTGTATCCGTTAGGTTTTTGACAATTTTTCAGGCTTCGACTAGGGCAATTAATAAAGCCACTTAAGTTAGGCGAATCACAATAAACAAATAGAATAAAAACAGTGAATGTTACTTACATTTGAAGTCACATAAATATAAAGTAATGGTTGAAATGTACCGACAGGTCGAATAGGTCTTCCACTTGATAAAACTTTGACGTTAGACTGTAACTGGCTAACACGAAATCTTGTAAAACATGCTCCTAATCGTACAGAATGAACCATTGACAGTTTTGGATGCTTCCATACCACCTGTTGACTCCCCAAAGTCGATAAACAGCGGCTTTCGAAATAAGGCAAAAGATTTTCATCACCAGCACCTGAATTTAAAACAAATATAAATCTTTAGGTGTTTATGGGTTAAAAGTAATTTAAATTAACGATGATGACAAAATAATGACATTCTTTCCAGCGAAGTTCAAGCAAAACTCACGAAAATCTGATCCGAAAACAGCTACCGTCCTAAAGAACTAGATGAGGTTAATCATCGCGATGACCTAACCAAACAATTCTTGGGGTTTCTTGGATATAAGGCAAGGAGCAACACGTTTCAATTCCGATGGTAAAGTTGTGGCGGAAAATGGTGGCAGCGTGGTCTTCTTCACAAGTAACAAGCAACTGCAGTGGCACTACCTTCACATATATGGAAGGACTGGTTATGAAAAGTTTGTCCTATAAATAGTACTCACACTTGCTTCATGAATCCTAGGTGCAAGTGTTAAAGTTTGAGAAGTATACGAGGCTACGTTAACAAAATGGTAACGTTGTGATAAATTAAGGTGTTTGAACATAGTAGAAACCATGATTCAATAAGGGTTTAGACTTCTTACATAATCTGCATTTCAAACTTTATATTACTTTCACTGTTTTATTTATTTGTAATATTTCCATATTTCCTTTCGAGCATTACTTAGTGTCGTACTCTATATTGTAGAGGAGGGAAACCTTGCAATATTTCCATCTTACACAATGATATAAGTTTCGGCTACCGTGCTCATGTTATAGCATTTCACTGGTCTACTTAGCCTCTATTGTGAAACCAATGAGGATGAGGTAAATTTCAAAATAAATTTATCGAAATTTTGATTTCTACAGGTTTACCGGCTAAAATCAACTTCTGATGAAATACAACAAAATTACAGACAACCTATATAATTAACAAGCAAACAAACCTTAGTATAGCGAGTTCTACTTCAGGTGATTTATAAAATAACCATCAATTAAAAAGTTAGTCTTTGAAACAAATGTAACAAAATCATGGGAATATAATATTAACCAGTTGTTTAGTGGAGAAATTCATATTTCGAATGACTTACATGAAATAACTGGTTTCAATATAAAGTCCATTGAGAGTGTACTCAACTTGATAGTTAAGTAAGGTGGTTTCTAATGTTCCAATGAATGGAAGAAATCAAGTTGTAGTTTTGTTTTGATAAGAGTGAGAAATATTAGCAATCTGACAATGACACCTGAAAATTCAAATGAAGTAGGTATAATTCTACGACGATAAGTTCTGTATGGTTACATATGTATGTTAGAATATTTGAAAAAAGCTGTAAATTACGCATAAAAATGCCATAATGATAAGAACAGATTTTGTACATTCAACTAGAAAGTGAATATCTTTACACTGCTGTATGCTATTATTCAGCCTTCCAGAGAGATATTAGCTAAGAGCATTTCGCTCGATTCAATCAAACTCTGAACTATCTGAAAGTTTTACACTCATTGGTGAGCGACTCATATTTTAGAATTACTGCGTTACTGAACAATTTGAGGTAGGATAAAGGCTATTCAAACTGTCTTTGATGTAAAGCGTTTATGATTTTAGTGAGCTCCGAGGCATCCAATAGTGTACATTCTTAAGATAAAAATGAACACGAACACGAACCGACAGTGTAAATTACAGGGAATGATGAAATTTGTGAACGTAAATTGTCATGTATATGTTGGAAAAAGGAATGTAGCCAATGTAACACGCGTGTGTAGCAGATTAAGCAATCCATATCTGTGCATATAGGTATGTAAGGTTGACTGAGACCAATTTGTAGGGTTTTAGCAGTTTTAGTTACTGGATTTTCTGGATGTATATATGAGACAGCTAAAGTAATTAAAAGTCTCTGTAGCTAGGATAAAAATTGATTGCACTGGTCTACATAGCATCATTCACAATTTTAAAGCAGTTAATACTTTATCAGTTTGTAAATAGCCCCCAAATGCCCTGATACGACCGAGAGTGTGAGAGTTTGCTCTCCATCTCCAAATGCTCTCACATGGCTACATGCATTCAACTACTGCCAAGGAAGTCCCACTCACTACCTACTCGCAACAGCAGTGTTGTTTACGAAATTGAGAGGACAACAACAGAATGTCTGGCGCCTGAACTGATCGGTGGGTACGATGGATACACCTGGGGGAGTTGGAAAACACTTATTTCAGACCAATGGAGTGGATGGGCTCCAGGATTCTGATGGAAAAAAAGGCGTATGAACCTATTGTATGTCACCGGCTACCATGGGAATGCATCTTCTAACGTCGCTCCACTGCCTTGTGGATTAGACCTTTAGTTCAAAGGCTCGGAAAGTGGTCCCGTAAGAAACCCACTTGCTTCGGTTTGGGCACCCAGACAGTATCCCAGCCCTCACACAAATTGAATGACTTATGTGGTGCATATCTCTTTGGTGCCTCCTTGTACCAATGTTTGTGTTTAGGTCAAATAAATTCTGTAAATAATTCTATCATTTCGTGATGCTATTCCACCTGATTTTTAGTTCTGTGTTACCTCTCTTATAAACATTTCTTACTTTTGTTTTTGCCTGTCACTGAATTGTCCAACTGAGAATACTTAGACAGATAGATTGTATCTGCCACTGATGTTATTTTTTATCTTCGGGGCCTAATGCAGTACACAAACTATTACAGAAAACATAAAGGGACAGAGCTGAATTCTATTTAGCTAACTACGATCTGCCATTGTAAAATGTTTTAGCTTGATAAATTGCGGTTATCGAGATAAATGCTATTTTGTTGGACTGAATACTCAGACCTAGTGAATTGGTGGACAGATGCAAAAACCTTCAGTTGGAAGATGGATTAGTTTAATAGCTAATGTATTGGCTTGAGAATAACTCCAGCGGCCTATATGGCCAGTTGACACTGCCCTTAGAAATGGATAAGCTTAATTTTAATACGAAACAAAAGTTCTGGGACACTACCAGTCGTCGAAACATCAGTAACCGCTCAAAACTATGGAACGCTCTGATGAACGTTTTACAACTGAGTTCACAGAGGGATCTTATATGCTGACTAGTATTGGAGAACATTTTCGATATAGTAAAGAGGTTGTGCAATGCTAAGCACATCTGTGTACCTAGACCAAAATAACATAATTATAGCAAGTAAAAATACAGATTACTTTGTAACCTTAATTCGTTCTTTATGCACGACGTATAGGGAATAGATAAGTAGATAGTTTTAGATATCAGTAAGCAGAGACGATTGAATATATCAGCCCATTTTTACGTAAACCATGGGTGAATTAAGGTCCACGTTACCGAAGGGGTTTTTCCACAGGAATACCACAAGCCACGTAAACCATCCTTTTGTAGTCTCTGGTATTTTCGTAAGACATAAAGAATTAAGTCATAACACAGTCAACCAATGATTCTCCCCAAGTTATTAGTAAACGCTCTCTGTATTATGATGTGCATATACTATGTGAAAATTGTCACATACGAACCTAGATATTTAAATTCTTGTCTTCATGTGGCAATTTCGGTCTGAAGGTTTAGTCATGAGCGCTTCGGTGACTGTCCCAGTGAAGAAGCCTTTATAGTATATATTACAAACCAAGCCCAAACCCACTTTAAGAAATACTATAATATGCTATATTGGTTTGTGATTAGCCTTAAATAATCTGGGTTTTAGGGGAACGTTTAGAGCAGTGTGTGAGGAAATCTGAGAATAGGAAAAAAAGTGAACCAACGACTCAGCTATTTCGTAGAATGCACTTACATTTATAAGTGAAAACAACTGATAGCAATCAATAAAAGCATGTACCAAAGTCAATTCGACAATCACAACTACGAAAGCTAGTATGAGATCTTAAATTCGTCACAATGCATTTACGCCAAACTGTAAATAGTGTGAACATATCGGGCGGGTGAACAAAAGGCCCATATCCAATATCTTTATATCCAGCTTGAACATTCTGGTTACCTTGCGCCCGCTTCCCGATGTTACACTACGGTCCCAGGCCTTTAGTCTCATCCAATGTGGATATTCTAGCCATTCGACTGCACTAACCCCAATGGATTTGATAGCTGATAAGGGATTAATTTGTCTTGGATATAAATGTGTGGGTTTGTTCTAGGGTAGTAGGGTTGCTAAGATCAGCAACTTCCACATTACTGAGATGAAAATTGGTTTGTTGAGGAATAAAGTATAGTTCAGAGAAGTGAAGTGAAGATAACAGTTAATACCTACTACCTTTGTTAAGAGCTTGTGTAGACCGATTGATTTATTTGGGATCACTTCTTGTTGTTTCTGTACGGTTCCAGGTGTTCCGTAATGCCCAACGGTTGGTAGTCTAGCCGCTAGACTGGACTAATTCTAGTTAGTTCACTAGTAATTTATCAAAATATATAGTTTAAAACTTGAGTGGGTTTGTCTCAGGGCTGTAGGAATTCTGGATACCAGCAGCCATCATGTTAGCAGGCAAAAGATCGGTTGGTCGTAATGTGAAAAGTGACAATGGAAAGAACTAGAATGCTTAGAGGAGACGATTGTTCCAATAAATAATAAGCAAACAGATAAATAAGTAACTTAATTAATTGGTGAGACATACGGTATGCAATGTAGGAATTATAAGGATACAAATGGGAAACAGTGATGGTGGTAAGCGAGATAAGAATACGTTAGTTTTGTGTTACAACGATAACTTCAGGTGAGGCACAGCTGGTCTAAGTGAGAGATGGTAGTCCATAAGCGCGTAAGTATTTGTCAAGTCTCTTCTTGAAGTTATCCTTTGTGGTGGCCGTGGGCACTTCGGCTGTGATAAAGTGGTAGCGTAACTTGGTTTTCACACTTTGATGTGCAGTCTTTTGGGGGTTGTCTTGAGGGGTGTGATGTTGGTTTTCTGGTAGGATACTCGTATCTGGCGTGATTTGGCGTACTTAGTACGTCACCTGCTAGTATCAAATCACCCCTCATTTTTTCGTAGCTCAGAAAGGATAATCCGACTTGTTGAACCCTGTCTTCGTAAGATTTACTCTTCAGCTCTGTTATCCACTTAATTGCCAGTCTTTACTCTGTTCCTGAGAAACTTATGTCTCTCTTGAAGAGAAGTGGCGAGACAGCATAGTGGACTTCACAATGGCGCCCTGAGCACGTTATAAAGAGTTAAGAACAATTTTGAGATGATTGTCTTCTTACAAACTGAAGAGTTGGGTTTGCTTTGGTTACCTCTTCTATGTAGTTTGAACTAGTGTACAAGCTCTCCAAGGTTACCAGCCTAAGATCGTACTCTGAAGAGACATCTGGGAGTGGATTTCCACGGAGGACATAGTCCTTTATGTCACAGGTGCAAAACGTCCATGATGTGACATTTCAACAGGTTGATTTTCAACCCAATATCCACTGCTCAATCACAGGTTGTTTTCACAATCTTGATGAGCTCAAATGAGTCCCCTTCACCTCTTGTGAATGTCCATATCTTTGAGTAGTCCGTGTAGGGTAATGCTGCTGAGCTAAAGGGTCGTTGTTGAAGATCGAAAGCAGAGGTAGGTCAGAGACTGTCTTTGTGGAACTCTTGATTTCAAAAGCCTGCAGCTGATTTGCACTCCATTCACCTATGTCCAGAACATTCTGTTTTTTGGCTGGTTTTTTTACCAAAACGGAAGTGGGTTAGTGAAACCCATTTTCGCAATCTTCCTTATAAGGAGTACATGTGACAGTGTCAAAGACTGCGAAATCAGGGAATATTACATGGATAGGTATTCCTTACTCCAAGAAGGTCGACCATTTGTCCCATGTTATAAGGAGATTCAACACACATGTCTTGCATTTACTAAGCATGTGTTGGGTCCATGGATAATGTTGTTTTCATACATGTATTCTCTCAAATGTTCATCGACTGGTCCCTCTATTACCTTCGACACTATTGGCATAAGCCCGTCGTATTGCCTAGGAACCGAAACATTACAATAACGGTGAGCCCAGCTATCACGCAAACCGCATTTGAATGCTGAGTCGCCACCGTTTTTCCGTCTTGTTCTCCCAGTAGACTGTGTTAACCGGAGTTTGTGACGTCCTTTCCTCCTAATTTGTCAATGCTTACTGCTCTGACTACGAGTAGGAATCCGGGTATGAGTGTGATTTGGGTGATTAGTTGGATACTCCTTTATAATGCCCGAGTTGAACAATCAATGCTGTATACGACGCTATACGTTTCGTCATCTTGTGTCATTTTAGGTTTACTTATAAGCTTGTTGACAGATAAAAGGGATTTTCTAAATTATTATTAACCCCATGCATTAAAACCTCTACTAGTCGTCCTTGTAATGATAGTGTAGGTACTGGTAGAAATGCTATTACCGTGTGGTTTATTCGGCAGACTGAGTGTCGAATGTGAAACAAAATAGGGACTGAGTGCACAAGGCTTAAGTTACGAAAAGGAAATTGTTAGGTTCGTTGACCTTGAGGGTACTACTGATTCAACTTATTCGGAACGGAACGACGGCTCAGGATTCAGAGACTCAATAGACTATTCTGGTCCATTGTCTTCGACTCAGCTAACTCGATCAAGAAGTCTTGGTAAGGCGTAGAAAGTGTATTCCACAAGCAACAGCAGATACCAAGCCAGGTCAAGCAGATCAGATCAAGCATACAAGTCAAGCGTATTTATACAAATATATATCGATTTTGTCATAGGAAATTTTTAAACAATAACCAATGAATCATCAGTTGTCTGCTATTTAAAAATTTAATCGATAAGTTCATCAACTGACTGCCATTCAAACATTTAAACATTTAATCGATAATTTAATCGGTATGATAAAATTACAAAATATGAGTTTTGGGGATATGCCGTCCTCAACAGAAATTGGGAAAACAAATGGATATAGGCTACATAAGAATGAAGCTTAAAGAGTACCTAAAATCACGGCACAACCTTTAAATGTTCTACCAAACAACTTCGTGTGAACCCAGTAACTTTACATAGGTTGTATGTTTGAAGGAGACTCACTGTATGTCACAGTTGAAACGATTAAGAAGAGAGCAGTCGATTGATGTGGCTAGATCTATTACACAATGGTTCAACCTTGGTATGATTACGGTTGTCAGATATGCCCTTGTGCTTGTCTACCAGTAAGGAAAGAAGCAGTTTGTGTCTTCCAGAGGGGTGAATATTTTGATCTGGCGGTTGAAACTTGATACTTCATGTCGTTAGTGTGACAACATATTCAAACAGCGCATGGCAGAAATAGCGAACTGTTATCACTCGCCATATGCATCTTCATGGTATTGAAGCACTCTTGATAATGAAATAGTGTGGTCCTAATCATATCAATTCTGGATCGGAGGTGTATAATAAGTTAATAGTTAGTAGCGAAACTGATCGGCAAGCAACACTTGGACTAATCATTCTCTGTACATACGGAACTGACGTAAACGTCTGGTCTCCTTTTGAAAGGTTCTGCATAAGGTATCTTCTCTATCATCTTCGGTGAGGAGTTCATCAAGTTAACTGGGTTTACTTTTTAGTTCGACCACACTTTTGAGTACTTGTCTCTGTACACATTCCAGGAGGGCAATGTTCCTCCTAAAGTAATAGCGGGTTTTTATTTTCCCCTGAATCGTATTCAACATGTATAATTCTCTATGAATTTCGGCGAATATAGGTTTTCATGAGTACATGTATTAGTGAAGGCATGGTTTTCTTTAAGGTTTTCCTTCATGCAGAGTTTACTAGTGTGACCAAAAAGGGTTCATGAGATCCCCTTGTGGCAGCTTATTGGACAGAAGCTGTCGTAGTTTAAATAAATTCTGCTGGATATGCAATCTTTTATCAATACCTGCAATCATATTTACCGATAAACGTGTACGTGCCAAAGCACATGCATCGGTAGAACAGAGAAGAAAAATATGTTCACCTTCCCGACCTCGTTCGGGAGAATTTGAGGTTGAGGGTCGAAATATCCTTAAGTAGTTCAATAACTCGACATACAGTTGACACCAGGCATCTCCCTACAATAACTGCGATCTTCCGGAGTTAACATAAGACGAAGATACACGGTGTCTCTTCGGTTTGCTAGAGTAGTAGCATTAAAAACCTCAGACCAGATTTACGTATCTAGTAAGAGACATTAATCAACTTGTCCTTACCCCAGTAAATTTACATTTTTGACTTAGTCACCTGAACTGTTGACAAGGAAGATGTTCAGGATGTTAATATTGTGGTTCATTTCCTTACATTCATAAGAAAAGAAGCCTACAGGTTGGCGATCTCAGAAAAGCCGATCTCACTCCCTTATGCAACTCTCAAGTAACTACCAGACCATGTAAAGTGTACACAACTTCGAATACTGTGAAGAAACGATTCGTCAGGACATCAGGATTTCCACCACACTGATACGTCATCCCAGTCCAATGCGTAATCAAGTTCCTTTTGAAAATATCTCCGCAGGGCGTTTCATAATTTGTCATGTAACGTGACTTTTAATTATTCACATGTTATTTTTAATGGTTTCCGGTGTTTTCAGTGCTCTTTTTATATATTCATGTATTAAATTAATCCGCATAGAAGGATTCATTTGGCAGTTTGACTATCAATTGTACACATTTCCCATGATGAGTTATCAGTTTTTAACAAAAAATTTTTGCATCTCTTCATTGTCCTTTATTTAAACAACTTTTCATATGAGCTTTTAGGACGATAATTATTTCAAAAGCCTTAAATTTTTATTTGCAATACATCTTATATGAATAATAAATGTTATAAATGTCTGATAGCAACAACAACAATAACAGTTATAACGGCAAATATCCGCTTATTTCGTCTCCAACTATTTCCACTTCAGTCGGTTTAGGAAGTACTACTCAACAACATACATATTCTAATGTAATTAGTAATGATCTAAACAACTGTACTGATAAGTCTAATTCCACTGTCATCTCATCTAGCACTAATGATATTGGTAGACTTTTATCATGTATAACTTCAAATGGAAATTGTTTTCCTACATATACTTCTACTCATCCTACAATTCAAACACAATTTTCTAATGATGTAGAAAGTGAGATTTCTACTCATCACCAGCAGCAAAAACAAGAATCACCCGGTGGAAATAATTCATCTACAAATTTATGTGGTTTTAGAATTAAATGTGAAGCTGATAGTGGTTTTTCACCGATTGGGAATTTGTCTGGACAATCTGCGCCAATCTCTAAGTCATCGTACGAGATGATGTGTAACAGTAAATCGACCGCCACTAACTCTACGTTGGAATCTTTCTCAGGGAAAACTGAATCATTTGAGGAACATGAAATAGTTGATGATCAATTTATTGAAAATCGGAAACTTGTCGAAACATGTGGATCTTTACGAGCACATCCACAAAGCAATAAGACTAATAGTAATAATGATACAAATGAATCTATTTCATCTCAATCAACAAGATATATATCATGTTCATCAGTGGATCAACTTACACTACCTCAGACTAATTTAAGTAATCATTTTCATTCAGATAACATTCTTAATTCAGGATGTAATAACCGTATATTGAACAATTCTCCAGTTCGTATTGTATCTCAGGGTCGACTAGATAATGATAACGCAAGTGTTAACTTTTCATCAGACTTTACAGCTGATGCGCTTACTTTCATTGATACATCATCAACATGTATAAATACATTTGATACAAATGAACGTATGCTTACAGGAACACCCGATTTTTCTTGTTTTTTTCCTAATACATTATGTGATCCGCTGACTAAACGTTTTACTTCTAATGGCCATACACCATGCGCTGGTTTTCCTGTAACTAATCAGGCCGATTCAAAGGTTCTAATAGGTCTCAGTCCTCTATCGAAATCGCATCGTTTATGTTATCCATATGATGCATATGAACCACTGAAAAGTGATTTCAAAGAACACTCAAATATAAATAACAATAATACTGTTGATAGAGCTCAACCGAATTCTTCACCGAATACACTTAAAAATATACTAAACAATACATTATATGATCGTACTGGTAGTAACAATGGATCTAATTCAGTTACAACGCCTGTAACTTGTAATAATGATGAAGCGGTGAACTTGATTACTGACTCTGGTCAAAAGAGTCTTGTAAATTGTAACGAAGTTCAATTACCAGGATTCAGTAGTCCTGAATCAGCTTTCTATCAATATCAAAATAAAATGGAGGGGCAAAGATGTCAAGTGTGGTGAGTTGGCAGCCGGTTTCCATCATGGAGCATATGTATGTGAAGCTTGCAAAAAATTTTTCATGCGTCATTCGATTGCTGATACAAAACCGACAAATGTCTGTCCAACTGGTGGCAACTGTATAGTGGCTAAAGGTAGTCGTGGGAAATGTCAAATTTGTCGTTACCGTAAATGTTTACTTGTTGGGATGAAAATGAAAGATCCAGAAACTCAATCAGAAATCGATATTTCTAATATTCCTTGTCGAGTGTGTGGCGGTAGATCGTCTGGATTTCATTTTGGTGCATTAACATGTGAAGGATGTAAAGGTTTCTTTCGTCGTACGGAAGGATCATCTAATTCATTAGTTTCTGTAGGTGGTCAAAATGCTTGCACTATAACACCTCGAAGTAGAAATGCTTGTAAAAGTTGTCGTTTTCGTCGATGTTTAGCAGCAGGAACGCCTAAAAAAGGTAGCCGAATTGGTCGTCAACCGAATGCAGTCAAATTTCATTGTGCCATTGAAATTAAACAACTACAGGCTATTCGTGGTAATTCATCTAGTTCAACAGGTGGATTATCACCGAGTCAAAGTTCCACAGGTTGTCCTCCATATAGTCAATATAACCTTAGTGGAGTTGGTGGAATTAGGAGTAGTAGTAGTGATGCATTAACTTCGTCCATAAATCATTATCGACATATAAGTCGAAGTGATAATGATAATAATGGTGATAAGATGAGTCCTAATTACAGTTCAACTGCAATAAATCCGATAAATTCTTCATCGAAACAAGACAATTTATTAATTTCCAGTGATTGTAAGCCAACACAACCACCCTTATCTTTATTATTCTTCTTACCGCCGAATTCTATGTCAAATCATCATCAATTAACAACATTAAATGATTCGAAGTGTGCACAATTATCATCTGCTTGTTATTCAAATAATCATGATAGTGTTGAACAGGATGATGTTGTTAATGATGATAATGACGGCGACGATGATGATATTGATGATGATGATGATGAAATGCAATCAATTAAATCTGATTACAATCTGGAATCTGATACATCTTCTCTATCGACTAATTTGAAATTGCAAATGTATAAACATATGCATATGCGATCGTCACCACTTAACGATTCTTCCCAATTGGTTCGTCATTATTCCAATGGATCATCTAGTGTATATGACGCTTTAGAACGACATGCTTTGGATCGTGCCGGTGAATCTATCACATTTAATGATGATAGAAATGATTCACACCCCATATGTAGTAGTTCCAATAACGGTAATGAAGGTATTATTGATCAAAACTCAGGTTACAAAACAGTCAAATCTATTCCGCTGCATCAATCACCTATTTCAGAATCATCATCGGCTACATTTTGTGCATCTCGCTTGCTTAATAATAAAAAGTTATTATCCTTTTATTCTCAGGAACATCAATTACAATCATTATCATCTCAATCCAGTATCAATTGTTCTCTGTCATCTATCTCTCCTACTCCTACTACTACTTCCTTGTGTTCTTCTCAACGTTCCTCTTCACCTTTTTCACTAATCTCTTCAAATTTGTCTCAGGTGCAAACATGTATATCCACTATACCGAATTCAGATAATGAACGTGTTAATAAAGTGAAATTATCTACCTCCAGCTTTTCAAACTCAACTATCAATACTACTGTATGTAATAGTACTACTACTACTCCTACACTGACAACCGTTAATACAAATATATCATCAAACACAACAGTGGCAAATAATACAACTGCCAATCGTCACAATTTCATAAGTTTCGATGATCCGTCATTTTGGGAAGACGTAGAACATACTTTACCATCAATCAATGTAACTTCTGAAGCTGTTTCACAATTCACTGATGGCATGCGTACAGCTACTGAATTTCTACGATTACCAAATGCATACTTTAAAACACGTTTCCGTATGACATCGATACCACCGGAACATCAAGACAATATTAATCAAGTATGGGGTCATATGATGAATCATTTTCATATGCACGCTCAACAGGTTGTACAATTCGCTAAACTTGTACCCGGTTTCAATCAGTTAGGCATAACAGCTAGAAGCAATCTAGTTCGCGAAGCTATGTACTCAGTCCTACTGCTGCTTCTTAGTCGTGATTATTGTCCAGAAACTGATGAATATAATTATTTTGATTTTCCAGCAAAAGAACGTGAAGTGATCATGCGACATTTCCCGACATTTAAACGTATTACAGAGCATTTACGTGTTTCCGGACGAATAATGCACCATTTAAATTTCAGTTTACCGGAATTATCGTTATCATGTGCTGCAGAAATATTGCGAAATTATTGTACACTTGAAGAGCCTACCGCAAAAAGTACAGCTGAATTATTTGTATTAGCACATCATAGTTTGTTAAATTGCATGGCAAAGCACTCTGTTCCGACTGTTGCATCAACACAACAAAGACGGACCCAGTTATTCGCTCTTAGGAAAATGATACGAGTAATGGACAAGGAACATCATGAAATTTTAGCAGATTTAAGGGTTCTCAGGTCTGATCTTCGGTTCCCTGAACTATATGTGGAAATGTTTCAATTAGCTGATAGTGCATCAGCACTGTTTTCCGCTTCTGCTCAAGCTGTAACACTAGCCTGTTCTGGTGTTCTACAATTCTCATTAAGATTATTCATTGAGAAGTTGCGAAGCAGGTCACGAAGATAACCACAAGTTTGGTGAGTGCTTGTTCAGTGGTAAGTTTCACCCATGTAATTTATGCGTATTTTGTAATTCTAAATACTTGGAGTGTGGTATGATTAGGCACACACAGGCAGTTTCTGATACTACTACTCTTTTCGATGCAAGCAATACTAAATTTTATGATTCTGGTCCTAATACGTTGTGTGTTTCTAACGATCAATTATCTTTATCCGCGACTTAGAGAAACTGCGTAAAGCTGTAATGTAATATCGATTCGCGGTCGACTTTGATCACCACTACAGGAAGACTGCGTGCCAGTTACTGCGGTAGATCCCCCCGTAGGCCAAGTATCAGAAGGCAGTTGATGGCTGTAGTCGAGAAATATTTGTTGGCGATCTCGTGGTATTGAAATAATACTGAGATCGTGCCAAATTTTGCAAATGGGGTTACTGAGTGTGACCGAATTCGTGCACGGTCACAATCAACGAAGGAATGTAGGGTTTCAGCACAGTTAAACAAACGGGTACGGTAAAACAATCACTGGTGCAATTGGTTATAATAATAATTGTTTTCATTATACCAATCGCGTTCTTTTCATAAAAGTAGGTCACTACAAAGTCATAGAGCTGTCCAGAGTTGAATGAATTTCAGAGTTATCGTGAAACAAAGGCTCACAGTTAATTAACTTATTATTGGATTTTTCATGCTATCGAACCTGATGTTACAGGTATTTGGAGTTTGACAACGTTTTAACCAGTAACACCCACTACGAATCGTGCCCACATAGCCAAGTCAAATGTCAGAAGCGAGGAGGCTCGGTGATATGTTTGATAGGATATCGGTAAATCCAGAAGCGACCGATCCAAACTGGCCAGCGATTGCATGAGTTGAGCATGGTGTTCCCACTCGTGCCCCGGTGCGGATGCACGAAAGAGAGCCCTCAGCCAAGTGAGTCCATTAAAACTAATGTGGTCAGCATCCAATGTCGAAGATTTACGGAGTAATTTATTTGGAGATTTATTTACCTCTACACACCAAATATGGTATGTCCTAACGATTCACATACTTCTGATGAGATTTCTCATACATTTGAGGAGAATATGTTGAGTGAATGAAATCATGATTGAAAATCTGATTCAGTTTTGATAGATGCTGATTTTTCTAGCAATCCATTATTCTTTGATAAATTCTCAGTAAATTTGAGGAAAATATTTCAGAAGAATAACGTCCTGATGTCATATCAAATATTATTTATCCTCATGACGCATTTGGTGCTTGTGGGAAACGTGTTCAATGCGAAGCATGAGTACCGAATGAGCTCGACTTTGATTACGATAAGGATGATTTAGTAGCAACTGTTATTACTCCTTATCATGAAGTCACTTCTAATAAACACTTTAATCGATGTGAGAAATATGTTTTAAATGAAGTAACATTATTCAAAACTTAGGGATATGAAGATACAACATTATTTCATGAAGGAGGAAAATCTATGGTTCAAATTCTAGGTATCAATTGTTTCAGTACACAACTGGCAGGTTGATTGTACACGGCTGCAGGATCCAGGCGAGCCCGTTCCCACTTTAGGTGTTAATTCTAATACTAATGAGTATATTCTAGGTCATACAGAGACTACATCCAGTACACGATCGGATAGATTCATGATGAACCTCGGTAGAAGAGGTACAACTGACTGCGAAAATTCGAATTCTCATTTAAGCTCTTGCGTATGCCGTGTTTGTATGAACTAATGATTCCTTTGTACTTGATCTGCCTGATCTCGAATTCCAGATACAATGTGTTCGTTCGTGTTTACCAAGTAATTCTTGGTTGAATTGTATTATTTCTGGGTTTCCTAGTTTGCATAATAATTCAAATACTCCTAGTTATCACAATTTTCTATATCTTATACACTTGGTTCATGGAGTGCTTAAGCCGCCAAGAAAACGCAATAAAAATATTCGGTTATGATAGCAGTACTGTCTAGCTCAAAGATACACGTGACTGTCCTGGTATTTGTTGCCTAAGCAGCTTTGTTGTGCATATGTACGACCCGAATCCATACAGTTTCCCGCCAGTCAGAGAAATTGACTTTTACCTTAAGAATTACTACAGCTAGACTACAAAATAACAAGTAGGGAAATATATAAGAAATACTAATCAAACACAAGAAGATAAGGTGGAAGCCACCAAGTATAAACGTCAAATATTTAGTTTACGCATGAAACGACTTATGTGTACAGCGGTCTGCAGTAAGATAAGATTACTATGATTCGTTTAACCATAACACAAATATATTGTGACCAAGCGGATCCTGACTCATACCAAACGTACTTATCCACTAGCAACAAACTGGATAGAATAACCCAACCAATCAGACAAGACACAATTAACTCACTCATCAAAAACACAATACCGAAGAAACCATTGGAAAACGAAGACTGTAAACAAAAAAATAAATAGAACCACCTTAATCAGATTATGAACATGATATACGTGAATAAACGGGATTAAGGAAGTAGCGTTAGACATAGGCGGAAGCAGAACAGAATGTATACATGGAGGATTTTCATAAGTGCGCATGAATTGAAACAGAATGATTGTCCTAAAAATCCCTCAAAAACGTTTCGTTTGGTATTGTTATTTCTTGAACCGTTGTCTAGAATTTATTTTTGTGAAATTTTCATTTGTGCAACGACATTTCTTGAGCCGGTAGGTAACCCTAATTCTATTGGTTGAAAAAGCTAGACTAGTAGCGAGTAGGTCCTTATATAGCTCATTGGACAGCACATTTTGGGAGCGGGGGTTATTTGTTCAAACGCGCAAAGCTTTTCGACATTAGAAATAAGATAATAGGAAGTATGATACCCATACAAAATGAGGGAGTGAGCGAATACTTGAGCCCCATTTTTGACATATACTTGTTTGAGGTCAACTCTAAAGTGATCAACCTAAGTTGTTACATATTTTATCAGTGCTTTTTAAACTAAAAGTTTATCAGTTGACTATGGTTAAGGTGATCATTATGTTTATATTTGTGTGGCTCAGGACGACTGGTAATAAAGTCACTTTTGTCTAAATTCAAAGCTGTGGAGCAAAGAGGTTACTTATTTTCGATCTTAGAATTTCTGCTGGAAACGTTTATTGTTTGTCTTGGATCTTAGAGACAGAAACTTGATCACTTTCTGTTAAGAATATTATTTCCGATTCTAGGGTGCTTAACAGTTGTATTTATTTACCAGCTTTTGCTTCACAGTATTTTATTTGTGCCATGTAAACTTCTGACTGCATAGTGGGTGGGCGGTATTGTCGAGGTGTTCAAAAGTTTTTTATGTTATTTATTACTACTAATTTAATGTAATGCAAATTAGCAACAGAATTTGTGATTTGATGTAATCATTGATCGTTAGTGGCCCGAGGTTTGAGTGATTTCACCAGATTATTGGGTGGCAACAGAGCATGATGAAATATCACTCACAAGACAAACTGAGATAAAGATCATTGGGCAGTGACCTCCTAATCTTAGTACGCATTCATTCAATTGCCATCGACGCGAAATAGAATATATGATTTCATAAGACCTTATCCACCGTTCTCCAGAGGCTACTGATGCTTACTTAGTTAAAGTGAGATTTTCAGTAGTTGCTCCACGAAACGCACTTGCGTGCCATGACTACTCATTTTGTTGTCTACCATGAAAGCATCACCTCTTATCCTCCCACCGCTTGAGGAATATAGTCGCTACGAAGTCTATCTTCACAAGGTTTTTTCCTTGATTTTCCAAACTATTATGCTCAAATTCTCTAGACTGGTTCCAAAAGATCCTCATCACTTTGACCAATGTGGATGGTATAAAGTTTGTCTCAAAATACAGATGAATGAAGGTTCTGAATTGTTGTCAGAGTTTTTGCTCTCACTGGTTACTGGAGCAAAGTATATAGATTTACTTGTAACTCACGATTCCAAAATTAAAAATAGGACCAAACTCAATTTCGGGCATCAAAGTTTATCTAAAAATTATAAATGATTGACTCAAATATCGCCCAAAAAATGGTCATAATAATTACGAAACAAGCCTTTAATTTGTTGGTTCCTGGTGCAAAAACACAAATACCAAGCCAAAGACAAAAAGAAACCAAGACTTCCGAAGCCAAACTAGCTCATAAGTTGAATAAATCAAATAAATCCAAAACACAATGAGATTAATCATATTCAGTATGAGTTTTTAATCAGTTAAATTTCTTCGCTTCTGTAACATCATATAATACCGGAACTAACCAAGTTGAATTAATTTAACGCAAGTGTCACTTTTAACACTTTAGCAGGGGTTTTAGTGAATGAGAACATAAGTGGTGACAGCCAAATGTATTTAAATACAGTACTTCAGGATCTCTTAGTAAGGTCTGAGATCCATACAGTAAATACTTCATTCGAGAAATGTCTATCAGTTGTCTCAGACTTCATTGTATTATCACAACCTTTAAAATGCGAAATAAATTAAACTTGAATCACTATACTAAGCCGAGCTCCACTTGGCAAATATTAAGGGGAGAAAGTTGACTTATTGTTTGAATAGATACAGTAACAAACGTCATATCATTAATGTGTACAACAATGACAAGGACCAATCACTATTGATATTTCACTATTATGTCCACAACCAAATGCTTGATTGGGAATTTAAACAGTATTTTTGATCATATAACTCCTGAATTAACTACTATGCTCTAGCTAGCATGTATCTCATTGGTGCACCATCTATATTAACTGTAATGACTACAAACGCTCGACTTTCTTAACAGTAAGCAGCACCACTAATTTTATGGTTGCTGATGGACACCGATTGGTATAGCTTAAACACAGTAGGTCACTAAGAGGTTTGGTACTAATTTGATGCAAAGCACAAAAAAGTACAACATAAACAGTTTAACTGAACAGTTTTAACAAAAAACAACTGTATAGCCAATTTATATTTTCAAAACTTGATATAAATATACTGTAAAACATCATTTGCAAATATACTT